CAGAGGCTGTGGCTCTCCTTCACACTGCACTGAGTCAAACAAACCAAACCCTTTCAGTAACTTATCCCCTCCTCGCCTGTGGTCGCACTGTACCAAGGACCACAGCAGGAAACAACACAAACTTTTGAACAGGACATCAAATTTCTCACCAAATGGAAACATAAATGGAGTGGAATCAGATTTGAGTGGTTGTAGGATTTGTCTTTTGTTTTTGACAAAGAACAATGAGTCATTTCTCCCACTGAGACTCAATGAGACTCTTGCCTCTGTTTTGGTTGTATTTACCCAGAATGCCCTGCACTGTAGTCCACTCCTGCTTTTGCATCCGTACCGTTCACTTCAACTGAACCCAGAAGTCACTTTGTAGGTGGACCAGAGTTTGCTTGCTTGGTCCGCATCAGAGACAAATTTTCTAGGCAAACAATCTAGGGAGTCCACTGAGCAGCTAACTTTGCACAGCCAAACATAACATTACATTTTTAACATTAAAATCACAGGTGACACCATTAGCGCTGCCAGTTTAAAGTGATGAGCTATGAGGTCATGGTGTTTGGAAGGAGGTCATGATGGACAATAGCAAACAGCAGAGAGAACAGAACGTCACAGTGGCCAGCACCGACTAGTCACCTCTGACCCGCGTCATCGCATCCTATCAGCATTCTGTAATCAGAGGGAGAAACAGGAATCGCTTGACAAATGCAAGGAGACTCGAGATGTTTCTGTCCACGGGGGTCTAAACCAGGGGTGTCCAAAGTCAGTCCTGGAGGGCCGGCATCCTGCATGTGTTAGTTCTCTCCCTGGCGGTACCAACAACCTGCTCAGCAGGTCAATGTTCTTCTTAGACCTTCTAAGGAGCCGTCATTGGATAAACCAGGGAGAGAACTAAGACATGCATGATGCCGGCCCTGGAGGACCCACTATGGACACCACAGTTCTACACCAACTTCTTGCCCTGGTGACAAAAAAAAACAAAACAAAAGTTAGCTGCACCCCAGTTTTTTCTTACTGGGATTGCAGGTAGAACTGGGACTTCCTTGGCTCATGGTGAATGAGAGAAGAAGAAACTGATTTTTTTTCCTCCACTGTTCAGGCGCCACTGGGTGACCGACTGATTCCAGAGAACACCTTTAACACGAGGAATCCAAATGGGATTAAAAGTCGCCAAACGAGGGACGTGAGGACCATGGAGGCACAGCTCGGCGCCAGACACTTTCTAATTTAACTCCGGTTCTTCACTAAGGTTCCGTTCCCTGACGTAGCATGTTCCCACATCTGTCCCTGGTCCTCGTGCGCTCGCGGTCCGGCTGAGATGCCGCGCGAGAGCGCAGAGACTGAGCACGAGACGGCCAACAGGGTCTCTGACCGTTAGCTCCGAACCGTCCCGTACAAACAGAACCGACCCGAACAGAACAGACCGGCTCAGACAGACGGTGCTGCCTTCACAAACCCGAAGTATAAACGTCTCTCCAGTTGACTGTATTAAACACAGCCCGGTTTTTAATGTGAGTTCACCCTCAGCGCTGAGCAAACAGAGCTAAAGACATTTAGCTCCATCCTGTCATGGTAACAAAATGTCAGCCAGTGATGTTGGGAAACAAACTGAATGGCCCTTAAAGGCATCATTACTCGGACACCGAGGCGGAGTTTGAACGTGTGTCTCACCTGCATCAGTAACGATGTTTTGTGTCCAATTCGTCGCCTCGCCGGCAGCCAGGAAGCCTCTCAGCACCGGGAGCTCCACGCTGAGCAACATGGCTGTCCGTGTCTGCTGGATCTCCCGTGGACAGTCCCGCAGCAGACCGGGATCCACGCAACCGGGCTGCAGAGGCGAAAGCACAGAGATTGTTTCTAGCTTTCCATGTGCCGAAAGAAGCGTCAGTAAGCGGCCATGACAGATGCGCGTTGCATTCTGGGAAAAGCTCGGGAGCAGAGGCGGGTCCAGTTCTATCCGGGCTCTGGGCAAAAAACACTTTTTCACGCTTGTCCTGCTGAAAAGCAGCTCTCTGCATGTTTACATGTTTTCTCTGCTGCTCATTGCTACAAGTTAGGGTTTTGCTTGATTTGATGCAGAGTGAAAATGTTTTCAAATGATTTGTTTCAGGTTTTCTGTGTGTGCACAGCACACAGTTAAATTATAAATATATAAGAGTGAGAAAAGCAAAGTCATCTGTTTAAAAACGGGACAAAATAAATAAATGTTTGGGTGAATGTGGTTTTCATTTTTTTTCAATCCATTTTTGATAAAAACATATGTGACATATTAAAGGATGGGAAGCAGAGACATATGTTGCATTCTACTTGTGGTCAGGACTTTCAAAAATAATAACAATTTTTTAAATCAACTGGAACAATCCTCTCCCCGAAGTCAGACTTCCCACTCAGAATATATGTACAACCAGGAAATAAAAGAAGCTTTCAATTCAGATTGTTTTAAATCCTGAAATAAAAGAAGCTTTCAATTCAAATTGTTTAAATCCTGTTTTTATATTTTTATAGGAACATTTTTCACACTGACTTTAAGAACTAATATGGCCGCTCCCCGTATCAACAACAGTAAGATGAGGTAAAAACATGTTTACCAAGTGGACTACTTGTAGTGGGCTCCACATACAGGGAGCGACAGATGGTAGCAAAAAGCAACAGTTTCACCTATTTGATGTGAAGCCAACACACGGGCCTCTGGCAACACCAGTGAGGTGACAAAATGTACATTATTTTCAACTCTCCATGACACACTGCTGGTCTGTGTGTGCACTAACTAAAAATTTCACATGCACAAACTTTGTTTGCCACTTGGCTGGAGGAGGGCAGGTGATTGTTGCTTCTTAACACTATTTCCATGGAAAATGAATGAAGAGGAAGTCATGCTGACTTCCATGTGTCGAGCCCTTAAGACTGACTGCAAACTGAGGATATTAAAAGTAGAATTTGAATGTGAAAGAAATAGCTGAAAACAACATCTGTAAGAGGTACCACTGACAATTTCTACTTGGGTATTGTCATATTGGAATCCCAACTTCTCAGATTACTGGAGAACTCATGGTTAGCTGGAATGCTGTAAACGCGACCATCCCCACCTGCAACTTCCAGCAGCTGGAAATAACGTCAATGGAACATTATTTCAATGTTCCATTGAAATAATGTTCCATCTCAAACAGGATAATTGCAATCATCCTGTTTGAGATTATGAGTCATAATCCCAAACAATCTCAAACAGGATGCTCCAATTCAACACAACTCTTGAATAAATTTTTGGTTTGTTCGAAATCATATTGTTAGGGTTGGAGGTCCATGAGAAAACCCAGATGTTATTGTCACTGGCAACATTCAATATTTTGAGGAAGTGGCTCTTGCCAATATTCTTCATAGCCTTGTGCAAAAGGGAGAGGATGAAAACATAATATCGACTAGTATTAGTCGATATCTGTTTCTGAAAGGTTGGCTTGCTTTTATCCCCACCCTTTGCCAATTTCAGCTCTTTCTGAAACTGGTGAACGATGCATCTCATGAGCATAGATGGCGAAAGGAACTTGGACAGACGCGTGTTTTGTTCTGTGAAGGACGCCGGCATGAAGATCAGTGTACTGAGGCACTCACCGCCCACATGGGCAACGGTGTGCCCACAGCTGCTTCTCAAAGCACTCAAGGCCACAGAAGCAGAGTCACATGCTTCTCCAGGAAGTGATAACAGTCCTGAAGCATGTGAACCTGACAGTTTGAAAGCAGCAGGTAGTGGAACCAAAAGTGCTGTAGCACGTTTCAGCGCCACCATTAACCCATCTGTGCCGAACCTGAACATGACATCCTGTTCAGGCTTGCTGACATAGGTTGAATGGGAAAACATTTTTATGTCCAGGAAAGCTGACCAATCGGCATGCTGTGAAGCAGCATGGCTAAGAAGTTGGACACCTTGGACAAATTGTCCAGGTGGTCCTGAAAAGCTCCAGGAACATACCATGCCAGTTAGGAAGGTTGATGCTCTTAAGAGTTATTTAGTCCTTGATTGCACTCAGATTTATGTATGTAAATATGCATTGGCATCATTTATTGTTTTTGTGCCAATGCACCAATAGATTTCTTTTTGATCATCCTTTTTCAGTCTGTCCAGTGAAATTGCTTAGGGTTTAATAGGGCAGCTTCTTTCTGCCACTGTACAATAATATTGGTGCAAACGTGACCTGCAAATCTTAAGTAACTCCACCTCTACCTCCTTTCAAACCCTGAACCTCCACTGGTCAAAGCCACAGACACCAGAGCTAGCAGTGCAAACAAGCTGAAGACCACCATTGCGTCCATGCCATGCTGCACTGATGCAGGAATTCATGCAACAGCTTTAACCAGGAACTGAACATGGAGACTAGACTTTTCAGTAGGCTCACATTTCTGTTAAAACTATTGATTAATATACCTTGTCATAAGGCTGAAAAACATCACGATGCAAGCGTTTCATATTAATTGAAGTAGATAACCGCCAATAGATTATTATTTTTTCATATATCTAAAATACTCCTAAGATGGTGGCAAGACCGTTTCCACGTCATTTTTAAGCAGTTCTAAGGTACGGAGGCGAAACATGAAACTGCTGCTGCGCAAGTTCCTCTACAGGTTGTTGCTCGGTAACCAAAGACTGAGCGAGTTGATGCCACCCACCTCGTTTACCCGGTCATAAGAGGTTGAGCCGCTAAAGTCTTTCCTCTGCCTACATCTCCCAGAATGCTGTGCGGTTCTGAACTAGAGTTCAGTGAATATTCTATCAGATGTATCGACACTGGCAATGTGTCCATCCAGCCTTACGCCAACATGAGATAAACTGTCATGAATGCTGGAAACGTATCACTATTTAGTGAACATATGAGACGCTTTAGAGTAAAACTCAGAACTAGGCTGTAGCCTCTGTCTCACAAACTATAGTTTACTTTCAGTGACGAAACAAGCTCTTGCAGGTCAGAAGTTAAACTGACAAACAAACAAAAAAAAAAAGCATTTGCACAATCAGTCCATATTTTCAAGCTCCATTTAATGTCCTAGCAAAAGGATTATGTTACTGTACTAAGGAGTGAGTAAAATAGAAAGTGCATTTTTTTTTTCCACTGCTGTTTCAACATAATAAAATCAAATCAAAGCAGTTTTCTTTAGCTAGACGGAGCAGAATTCTGTAGAAATAGCAGATTATTCAGCAAAGGTACTCTGTTGGGAGTATTTGGTGGTATGGTGTAGATCAAAGGCACATCACAGCTTTTGTATCTCACGGGGGATTGTTGCACACGCACAGAAAACACACAGACACATGCACAAGCCTTTAAAGTACATTTCCCGATCTGGCCGTCTACAGTCGTGTGAATGGAAAGCAGTTATGGAGAAGTTCTAAGAGGCGACAAATGCCGATCCAGAGTGTGTTTAAGCCTTTTAATTTGGAGCCTGTAAAAGGGATATAACATGAGTTAAAAATGTCCATCTTAAACCTTATTGAAGTGGATATGATCCAAGACAAATCAAAGGTAGCGTGGGGTCTCCAGAGGTTTTTCTGAGAGTCACTTTCCGGTGTGTTTTCTTCTTTTAAATAATATGCTTTAAGAATGACCAATATATCCTTGATTCCAGCTATCACCGCTCTAACAGTCCCAAAAACACCGCCCCCCCCAAAAAAAGAAAACAAAAAGGACTTAACATTCAGTAAACATTCTTCTCTAAAGGTAGTTTCCCTTATATAATCTGTCATTTTTCCTCTGCCATTATGTATACATAAACAAGTTTAATAACATACCAATCAGTGGTTATTTCACAATTGGAAAAAAAAAGCACAAAATGTTTACAGTCTTTTACAGGTGAATAAAAGTTTTTCTTGACTCTGTAATAAGGGCATAGCGTAGTTCAGAGTTTGTCTCATCGGCTTCTGGTACTCGATCTCCCTCCACTACTATTCTGCAATTAGATCTTTACATACAAATATTGACAAAGTGATGACTCCCCCTCTCAAAGCCATCCAGTCTTTAAAGAGTAATCATCAGAAAGAGGAAGGTGAAGGGCCGAAGATACTGGAAAAGATGGGGCAGCAGGGTCAGTGGGGTCCGAGTGGCCTGGTGGGTGGGGGTGAGTGGGTGGGCTCATAGCTGGCCCTCGCTGCAGTGGCTGTCCTGACTGCCGGCGGGTTTCTCTGCGTCCTGACTGGACAGGTCTTTGAGGATGAGCGCGGCGCTCTTCTCAGAGAACTCGTCTCCGTCGGGCTCCAGGCCGTCGGGACAGGACAGCTTCAGTAGCTCCTCTCTCAGCTGGGCTGTGTGTCTCTGCAAGGACACGCACACACACACACACACACACTTATTAGGTGGCCAGGTTTAGGGTGAGGACTGGGCTGGACCTCATAAGGCCTGAGAGGTGCTGGGACAGTCAGAGTAGCTAGTTTACCAAAATGACTTCCAGTTTAAATAGGCTGTTAATCAATGCTTCATTGAGTCGTCCTTAAGTTTTTCTCTCCTAAGACATAAAACGAATTTCTTTCTGCAGGATCATTGCTGCAGCCTTCTCAGTTCCAAAACCAAAATCTGCAACAAAGGCCGTGGCTGATAACAGGTGCTTTGATTCTTGCGACTTAATTGTTTTGAATATAGATGCTTTATGTCTTGTATAAAATATACACAAAATATTTACCAAAAATCTTTTACAACTTAGTTGAAAACAAAAGTTAACTTATTCTGACGTTTCAAGTTCAGAAAGTTGTTGGGAAAAAATCATTTTACAAAAACCTCCCATCAACACACCAGAGATTTTCCAAACAACAGACCTCCACCAAGCACCCAATGTCTTCTAAATTACTTCAACTAATGGGAGGGTCTAACAGTTACCAAATGATCTAAACACAGCCAAATATAAGAATCAATTATAGATTTAGATTCTTAACCAACTTAAGTAGATTCTACATTTTGCCCAAAGAAGAAAACTAAATTTGTAGAAATTACATTACCCTCCTCTTAAGGCTGTTTCCCCGTTGACTTTAACCCTTTTTCTGCAACTAGAAAAAGGGCTAAGTGTTGTTTTCTCTCCACTGAACCTTCTGTTAATAGGAACTCGGAAAACAAACAACTTCTTTAGAGGGTTTCTGGGACAGCCTGCTGGACATCTGTCCATCAGTCGTCTTTCTCCTGACTGCAGCCCAAAATGTTTTCCAGACTTATGATGTGATGAATCTACATAACGTAGGAGCATCACGTCATCAACAGAACTCCACTAAATATGATGTTTCTAATTTAAGGAACATCATTATTACACTCGTGTGATAATGTTCACTATCCAGCAACACCAGGTCCCAGGATTATCGGTTACCTAGGCAACACCTCTGGCCCAGACCTGAGAAAGATACCTGAAGAATATTGTCCGTCATTTAAACTGCATCTGCTCCTCCTGATGGAATAAATGTAAACCTGCTTCACTTCCAATCATCATGGCCTGGGATAGATGAGAATGTAATTCATGACAGCGTTTTGAATTTAACTGAACAAGGTCTGTCATAATTTAGTGACTGATTTGAGTCCCTCGTTTATTAAAATTCCTCGAGGAATTATGGTTTATTATTTAGCACCATGTCCTCAGTCTGGCTGGATAAATATTTATGTTGCACAATGCTATCGCTTTCGCCAGTGAGTTGCTGACGAATACCAACTGCTGTTAGCACAATATAGAGTGATCAAACATGCTCTTTTCCTCGGACATGTTCGGGTTTTCAGCGATTCTTGGGAAAGATGGGCTGAGATAAACTGAGCTCCTGACGCTCGCATGAACACCAGAGGTATAAACGGCTGAGCAAAGTGAGAGTTCATCTGTTGAACTGACTAGAGACGAAAACAGAAACTAAAGACTGGAGTATTTTTTTCTTCAAATGTGTTATTTTTATTATCAAATTGGAAATCATTTCAAATTTGTTTGTAATTTTTGTTCAGGTTGACTTAAAAAATGTGCTACTTTTGCTACTTTTCCAAGCAATAGGAATGCTCAAACATGAAAATTTGGGCCGATACTGATATCCCATATTAATATTATTGTTATGGCAGGATTGACCAATATTCTATTTTGTTAAACTTGTTTTTTTAACTGATTACTCGATTACTAAAATAATTGTTTATAACAGCCCTAAACTGAATCTATACAGCCACCATGTCTAGTTACATTCACCACTTCAACAACTATTTCCTTCAAAACATGAAGCTAATTCTGTTCTAACATGTTAAAGTGGTGGAACGGATTCAACCACCAGCTGAACAGAACCGGTCTTTTTGTGTGTGTGTGTGTGTGTGTGTGTGTGTGTGTGTGTGTGTGTGTGTGTGTTTTCTGATTGAGTGAGATTACCTTGAGAGCAGCTGCATGGTGGGACATGGTGCGGCCGACCCGCTTGTCGTTGCTGTACTGCTGGATGTCGGCGATCCACTCCTCACACTGAGACATGATCTCGGTTCTCTTCAGGTAGAAATGTTTGTGGATCACCTGCACACACACACACCGTTCACATCAGTCACTCCCACATCGCTTGATACATCCAGACTGAACGAGCAGCTCTTTGATAGAGGTTGTAGTTCGACAGAAAACAGAAAATGTAGGAACTGTGAGCTACCAGGATCAGAACCAGAATCAGAACCGGCTTTATGAACCAAGTTAGCATACACAAATGAGGAATGCAACTTTGGAAAAGCCTGCAAGCTGAGAGTCAGAACCGTTCTGTATTGGATGTGTTCACTAGGATTGCACCGATAAATCGGCCCAGATTTCCTTCATTTTTGGGAGACCAGTGATCGGCCCGTACTTACACGTGAAGCTGATCTTATCCACCTATTTAAAAAAGAAAACCAGCCAGTGTCTTCTATTGCTCTGCTGTGAGAGGTTAGACTGGTAGCCCCTCCCACCAGGTCATGTCTGACCATTAGCAGTTAACAACAGTCACCCCACTGTTATCAGCTGAGCAACTTTCATGGTATATTTAGCAACATTTCCAGATCGGTGATCGGCCAGAAAACTGCAATCGGTGCGCCCTTAGTGTCCACGGTTCTTGTGCGAAGAAGGAGCTGCTTGTCCGTTTTGTTCACCGGGAATCATAATTCGGCTCATCGTGTCTGAGGTCTGCAGCTGTGAATGAGGCTCAACTTCACTTTTTTAATTGTTCAGGCTGATCTCTATGTCAGTACGACATTCACAGCGTTTGATGGAGGACGCCAATCAGCTCTGCTCAAGTCTCCAGTTTCACTGCCCCTCATCCCCCACACACACCCCCGGTCCATGTCCTAGCAACAGTCGTCATGCTGTGCCATCAGCATGCAGCGCGTGTTCTGACAATGGGTCTGGAGCTGCTGCTGCTCCGTTGTTGGAATGGGAGTGTGGTCCGCTTCGCCGTACACCAGGAGAAGAGAAGCAAAGCGGAGCTTTAGGAAACATTCTCTCTCTGTCCTGTTCACATTCCTCCACTATCAATCCTCCACTTTTTGACTGTCGGCTCCGCCCATCATCCAGGATGCCACTGTTCCAGAGAGGGGCGTGGCAGCCGTCCCCGTTTGAAGGTCACACGTGTTGTAAACACTGCCTCTGCTTTTCACTGAGCTGGAGACAGATGGAGCGCTTTAAAAACAACACTTCTACCCAGCTAATGAGCTATTTGGAACACGACGGGCAAAAACAAAAGTAAATCAAGAGCTCTAAAAAAAAATTCTGCCATATTAATAATAACTACATTCACTTCAACACTGCTAACATAATGACTTTGTTGATACATTTAGAAAATCTTCAGACCCATCTCTCTAGAGCCATTTCTGGAGACTTTTTTTAAATGTGAAAAATAAAAAAGTAAAGAAATCAAATTAACTGTTTTCTTTGGTTAATTTAGTAGTTTGGACATCGATACTCTGAACACTTCATGTTCGAGAGCACTACCTGACATGCAGTCCATATTGTTTTGTGGGTATTGTTCAATGTTTTCATTAATACTGGGTGTTTTGTGACCTTCTAAAAACGTAACTGTCAAAAAAAATTGCTATCGGCTACAGTCGGAAAAAGCAGGTCACGCTTTTTAAAGATCGGTGATCACCCAGAAAAACTGCAACAAATAAATAAATTCAGTCCTCTCAACATTTAACTGTTTCTGTGAAAACAATCCAAGAAGAATCAAGTGAAAAAAAAGCCTCAATTTTATCAGAGGAGAGGCTCTGAAGATAATCCTGTCTCACTGCCACTCCTAACACTGACACATTTATGTGCCATAACTCTAAGTGCTTAAGATGGCGTCTCATGAGGAGTGACAGGACAGGCCGGGACCAGTGAAGGACTTGATGGAGGCATCAGCAGCGCTGCAGAAAGGACTCCTGCATTAGCCGACTCTCATTCATCTACCGCGCTTAAGGACAGCAGACAGAAGTCAAAACGTTGTGTGTCCAGTAAGTCATGCATGTTGCTGACAGAGCAGGTCAACTCCTGTCTGCATGGCCGGTCATTTCATTTAATTTACAAAGCAGTAAGGACTAAAAAAGTTATGACTACTAGGTACTCAGTGCTGATGATAATACTGACTCACAGTCACGATGTAGGATAAAATCTGAAATAATGTCCCTTCCAGAGCATTTTACAATCCAGAAAACGGCAACAAATGTTTACACATTTTTCAATCTGTAACAGTTTTAAAGATGTGAAACAACTGTCGACAGTCCTACATGGAACATTTATTGTGTATCTGATGCAATTATGATAAAATTAGCAAAGTGCTAATAGGTCAGTGAGGTGAGTGGAAAGCTTCGATATGTGGAGTTTATATTTGGGATAAATATTCACTTGGACTCTAAAAGCAATCAATGTCAAACTGTTGCTCTGGAACGTGAAGAGATTTAGTTTTCATTTTTTTAAAATAATGTCTCAACTTTCCCCGAGATCTCTAAATTACTTTCAGAACGTAAAAGCAGAAAAACAAAATCAACCTTAAGATTCTTCCGCTACCCGACCCTGAGCACCTGGAGACGTCGTCGCAGAGCTCTACTGACCAAAAGCTGTAAGGGTGAGACTGGGACTGAGGAACAAGCATCATGTAATGATATCATGCGAAGCAGTGAAGAGCCACAAGATGTTGGCCGATGTCTGTCCAGTCTGTTACTCAGAACAACCTGCTACAGACCATAAGAAATCTTGGATGACGCACAATAACATTCCTTTAACATATGTGCTCGAACAGCAGAACAGGATTCAGCTGTCCTTTGCAATGAGCAGGAGAGAACTGTTTAGCCTCAGACCCAACTGGCTACTCAAAGACGTTACCGTGTTTGTGAAAGTACGAGGCTTACCTCCTTGAAGCACGGCGACGGGTTGCGGATCTGTTCCAGCATGGCCCACTTGACCGTGGCCTGCCGGATGTTGCCGTCATATTCTCGAGAGCTCTGGGTGCCACTGGGGGTCCCGCGGGAACGCTCATACCCCGGCTCGTTAAAGTAGGGCTCAGCCACTAGGATGAGGGACTGCACAGACACTAGCACCTGCGGCAGATTTAGAAACAAAGGAGGCAGGGTTATCACAAATCCCATGGAACGCGTTACTCAGACCAGAGGGAAAATTTACCAACAACTTCTTGCTACAGAGAGGCAACTGACTGGGCTTCCAGAGGAACATTTCAATAACTTAAACTTTATTCTGGCTAGAAGTGAATTAGTCTGCCATCTTTAAACTGTGAAACCCATGAAATGATCTTGGCAGAGTCGGACCAGCGTAGAACAGTCTGACAAAGGCTGGGAACAATTTGGCCACATTTTAGCACTGGATTCTTTAAAGCTTTTTCATTAACAGCCAATAAATGACCTGGCCTGTCCCACAGAGACTGAAGATGTCCTTCGTCATCACTCTATTGGTTCAGAGCCAAAAATGTTGGCGGGGAACTTGATGGCCTGCCTGCTGGCCTTAAGACGACAGCAACAGATTTCAGCCCCTAGCATTCATCACAAAGCGGTCCGCCCCATCTTGAAGCAAATATGGATGATTACCAGCCCCGCCCTCTGCCCCTTGTCTCCAGTTCACCACCCTCCTGATTTCCATTATTGATCTATAGAATGCTAACTAGAATAATAATCAAAGGAGACATCTCTATGTACTCCCCATCTCTGCAAAGGGGGGTGGATTGTAAAGAAGAAAGAAAGACATCCATTTTCAAATGCTCCAGCTCCCCTGGACAACAATCAATACTTGTACTGGAGAAAGAATGTGATTATGTGCAGAACAGGGCCAAATAACAGTGTGGCTGTGTGTCAAACTGGTCCAGAGTGGCTAACTAGTGTCCAGTAGTTCCTTATAGCTATAAATGAGCTGCTGTACCATTCATAATTCATCTTCATTTAATAAAGAAACACGCAGCCTGTTGTGGCTTGAATGTCAAAATTTTTTACAACAGTGTTATTAACAGTCTGAGCATTTCACAACAAACCACTTATGTAGCTCACTTTTTTATGTCTGTTCCATAAATCATGAAAACAACAACACTGAAGCTGCTGTCCTCTTTACCAGTGTAATAAAGGGCTATTTCACAGCTTTTCAATTTTTAGCCAACTTTTTTATAAACTGCCTTGAGATGACACGTTGTGAATTGGAGCTACATAAATAAATTAAATGAAAAAGATGACTTTGGATGACGAGCAACAGTCTAGTTTTCAAGTTCGGTCTGAAAGGATTTTAGTGATTGATGACATTGTTCGGGTTTCTATCATTTTTCAGGGAACCAATAAGCATCCTTAAAATGACTGGCGGGATGCCTGGAGTACGGCAGCTTTTGTCCTCCGGGAGGTGCTTCCTGGTGGTGGTGAAGAGCGCTCCAGGTGTATTTATACAGGTGAGCGGATAGACTGAACACAGCGGGCGGCTGTGCTATAGATGTGTGGCTTTTCCGTCAAATCGGAAAATTAATTTCATATCATCCTGGTCTCAACAAACGGGTGGCGGAGCGCATCGTGACGGTACATAGCTGGTAGATGAGTTTCTGTGTGTGACTAACGAAGTTGTCAAATCTCGTTGCTAACATGGACCGAAAAGCCAAACATTTCTGGGCAAAGTGAGAGTTCATTTATTAAATTGACTATAAATGAATACATAAACTAAAAGCTGGAGTATAGACATTTTTTATAGAGCCTGTCTGTTTTATTATTAAATTGAATATAATTTCAGATTTTTATATAACTTTTTTTCAGGTTAACTTAGAAAGTGAAATGCTATTGTTTCAAGTTAATTCTCTAAACTACAGAAAAGTTATTGTAAGGGATGCTCAAATATGAAAAATTGGACTGATTTTGATATCTGATAGTAACACTGTTATGCTAGATTTACCAATGTTTAATCTTTTTTTTTTTATCCGATTACTCGTAAGAATAATCGATAGATTACTCAATTACTAAAACATCCGCTTACAGCAGTCCTGGTTACCTGTAAAAAGCTTGAGGTCTGGGGGTTCCACTTCTCCTCTGGTCTCCCATGCCATGTGTTGAGGATACTTAAACACACCTGCACAGAAAGCATTCAGGGATCAGTCTCAGCACAAAGTCCTAAAAGCTGCCATGGAAGTGGAAGACTGAGGAATAAGCCTGGGCTGAGGACGCTCTGAGAAGACAGGTTTGCTCTCTTCATTAGAATAATGTGGCGTGTTGCTTCTACTCAGATTCTTGCAACATCACACCAAACAACAGAATGAAGGAATAAAACAAGGTCCGGTCACATAAACACACTGAATGGCTGGTCCATGGTGGTTACACCTCTCTTTGGGATGGAAGTTGTTACTGAGGGAATACAACTCAGTTATCTTCTTTCAATAACAGCGATGAGTCTAAAAAGAAGTCAGATGTAAGGAGCCAATGAAAGAAAACTTGGTGAAGAAACCTGATCTCCTTTGATCAATCCATCTCTAAGTGAATCTGTCTGGTTTAGCTAGCTGTTCAGCTATTCTGATGGTTCAGGCTAAGCCTTCTTTGACAAAGGTCATGGTTAAAACTACAATTTGTTGGACAATTATTTATCCCTGTGCATCAAAGTGATTAGAATTCTTCTACAGTTACACTATTCATCTATCACTAATATGAATCTCTACCACTGACGTTTAAAGTCCCAGTAATTCCTTAAAGTGGCTGTCAAGGACAAATTCATGAGGAGGAGGAACTCGTGCAGAACTTCAGAGTTTGGACCTTTTTCACAAATGAAGCAATCCACGGCGACGAGGCAGAACACGTTTACAAATGATTTCATCTTTTAGTTTCTAAAATCAATAAGACTTGGTGACATCTTTAGAAATGCAACGTCTTCCTTTTGCACTGTAATCATCTTCATAACAAGAAATGAAACTTCCCCAAAGATTCAGCTAAACACAAACAAAAAGGAGAAAGGATGAACATAAAGTTTCAGAATTCAATAGATTTTTGGAAATTAACTTTTTCTTTTTACACTGGAAGAAAAACAAAAGGCAGATGTACTTTTCCATCATTGTAGAGGTTTGGATTGAAGCGCACGCTGTGTCCGCCGGTGGTCTCCAGGTTGACCAGGGGAGGGGAGTTTGGATAGTCCTGGGGAAAATAGACGTCGAACTCAAAGCAACCATTGGCATATGGGGTGTCGCCTGGGCCAGTGATGAGAACCTGGAAACACGGGACACAGAGAGCCGACGCAAACATGACATTATTTACACAATCCACCTGCAAAACAAAGACGCTTCTATAAAGCTGTGAAGTAAAATGTTTTTCATTAAAATCTGCTAATAAACTTTTTTTAAAATTACTTGTAGAAAAGAATTGCAACATAAAAACTTCCAAGGAACAAAAATAATCTACTCTTTCTGTTCACACTGCAGTATCAGCTCATCACAAGGAAAGTTTACATAGATGATAAACAATGAATCATCATGGAAGATGATATCCAATTGCTGTACTAAAGGAGAATGTCAAAATGTTGCTTGTTCCAAAGCACCACAAGACCTGACAACAGATAAGAAATCCTTCCCACCTCAATAAATTTGATGCAGCAGCATTTTTTCAGTGACTGAGCTGCCAGGACAGTGATGGACAGCAGCAGCGGCTGCTTGGGGACCAGTGTGGAGACGGACACATGACGCAATACTATAGGCTGATTGTACAGCACTTATTTAGTCTCCCTGGACACAAGGAATGTCACTAACCCCAGGAATGGGACTGGAATGTTATACCATATTGTGTCAGCAACTGTTTTTTTTTATTTTTTATTTTATTAATACTAACCAGGTATCAGGAGTCCCAGACAAAATGTAGCTCCTGATACCTGTAGCTGTGAAAGGTGCAGAGCATTTTGAAACAAGAACAGCCTGTTTCCATGTGCGTGTCCTGGAAAAATGGACAGAGACAACGTAACACAGGGGGCTGACCTTAGAGCAGCGAAAACATCATTCAGCTAAGACCTAATAAAGTCCCTGAACAAGTTGAGACAGAAATAAAGTATCTGACAGAAAAGCAATGGCCAAAATGTTACATATAATTTTGCACTGAGCTGGGACTCAGTATCAGCCAACATCTAATTTTAAATAATTCAAAGTACGGGGGTCAGACACTCCTGATCAGGACATTCCTGTCGCATTCACCAGCCTTCTCTCCCTCTCTCCCCATCAACTTTTACATGGAGTTCACTGTTGTCTCCAAGGATAGGAGGGTAAGGGGAACTGGAAGGGAAATAAACTTCCGGTTCCCGGACAGCTTCTCTAGCTGAGCATCTTAGATTACAGAATCACAGACACAGCCGACTCCTCCCACAGACACAGTCTACTCCGCACAGGCAGTTTAATGAGAAGTTCATCCTTTCACATTACCTTCATGATATCGAGCCTCTCCTCATCACAGCGGACAAAGACACTGGACGAGGATGACAGAGGGAGAGATGTGGACAGGGTGACGGCCTCCTGGGCAAGACGCCGCGATCTGGCCGCACTGTTGGTATCACTGGCGTTTTTAACCTGAGACATGTAGTGGTAGTTGACCTTAAACATCAGCTTCCCTTCCTCGTCTTCTGAAACCATTTCAAACGTGTCTGTGTGGGGTTGATGGTGTGAAAACAGAGGTTAGAAAGTTCTGCATCGCACTGGCTTTAATTTCATTAAATTTCTGAAAATGTTATTTTGAGAAAAATGAGGACTTTTTTTTCTTTTTTTTTTAGAGATAAGGAGATTTGACAAATTATAGTCAACAGCTTCAAGGCCCTTGAAGCGATTGAGCAACATCCGAGTATTTCGAAGAAAACCACATGGACTCCGGTGGACAAGTCAGATCTTGATAGATGTTTGTGTCCCGTCACAAAAACTACAATTTTCTAATTTGAAAATGTTCCTCTGGTTATATAGCATCTTTATCCTTGTGATATTATGACAATATTCTCATGACTAAACAAAAGTTCTTGTAACCTGGCTCCATTACTCTGTCGTACAACTTAAATAAAAGCCACTTTTTAAAAGCTTTTCTGCCAGTTGTAATTTCTTCTTTAGAAAACAGTGAGCCAAAAATTAGATTAAAATTGGATCTGGCATAAAGAAATTGGGAGTTTTTAGCTACACTGCCCATCCCTTGCACCATATCAGGTATAAAGTAGAAAGAAGTATGTTGTAAAACCGAACCACAGAGGCAAAGATCTGAACTCACCAAACTGGAGCTTCTTCATGGCAGCAACGTATTTCTCTTCCAAGGAGCGAAGAACTGACAGTGGTTTGGGCCGACTCGACACCTTCTTTGACGACTCAACTAGTTTCCTCTCTTAAAAAAAACAATGAGAATGAGAAATATTAAATACAATGCAACATAAATATCAAACATTTCTCACATGCAAACCATCATCCAATATGAATTTATTTCAATAGAGAGGCTAAATTTGAGAATTTCCTGGATATTCTGAATTGGGATAAAAGCATCATCATTTATTGGACACTCATCAGGGTTTCCCTGGCATGTCACCAGGCTTTTACTTGTGCTTAGCATTGATAATTTTTTTTTTATTATTAATATTGCCTTTTTTTTTAAAGCTTTGCAGATGTTGTTTAGTCATTGATATTCCAGTCTTCCAAAAATGCATAACTATCAAGTAATATTTTCTTTATGTACTGGACATTTTATTGATGAGTCTGACGAACGACGAGGTTGAAGAGTCTTTTTCCGTCCTTATTACTGCATTTTAGCTACACAAGGAGATTATTACACTGACTTTCTTGGGGCTAATGATAGATTTCAGCCTTAGGGTGCAAACAGAAGTCAAAAGTCAAGTCACTTCTTTGGTGAGTTGTTGCATTTCATAGGCAAGACAAAGTCAGACCATCGCAGGGAGAAATGTTGAAACATAAATCCAGAGACATTTAGCTCTGAAAAGGAGTACAGAAGATTTTGCATGCAAAAACATGTTTTATGTGTGAAAAGTCAAGCTTTAGAAAAAACTGAAAAGTGTGTTTATGTGTAAACACACCGTGATTGGCTTGTCGTAGGCTGGTAGTAGCTGCATGGACTATCTCAGCTGTTCTCTGGATGTCGGGCACCAGCAGGGTCAGACCCTCAGGTTCTGGGTCCGACCCATCTGGTTTCGCCACACCTTTGCTTTTATCCTTCTTTGACCTGTAACACAAAAAACACGCTCAAGTTGGTCTCACTGTGGGTCTTCTTTATGGATTCATCGATTTACAACAAACAATGTTGTTCTGGGGCCACTGGAATGAAGGCACAACCCATTTTAGCTGCTGTCAAGACCTGTGCCCGGATTCTCCAAATGGAAGCCAAATCTTTGAGCACAATTCTGTTCCACAAACAAAGTGTGCAACTGTGTGTTTGCTGAGCATGAAATGACATTTCAATTGAAACAAAGTGATAAAAATGATCATATCTTACCTGAGGCGATTGGTATATGTGTCCACACATGTCTTCATTTTGGCCAGCAGCATGCCTACAGAAGTCTGTCCCTCAGAATGCTCTTCATCTTCCTCCTCCTCCTCTTGGCCAGGATCCCCAGACAGAGGAAGCAGGAGTGGAACCAGGGCTGTGTAGGTGGAAATGGCCCTTAGCAGCTCCAGCAGTGCTCTGTACAGGGGAACATGGCGAGCCATATCCAGAACTGCAGAAAAAAAGACCAAAAAACATGGATGAAATGGTTACCAAGGCAGGGGAAGGCAGGAGAACAGGGATCAAACATTTCATTTCATATATTAGTGTGGCCTAGACGTTAGGTCACATTTGAAAAGATCGGATCTGTATCGTGTATCCGAATGGCCCGGGTCGCATTCGAAAAAAATCTCAACTGTGCTGTTCAGACTGTGGTGAAAAGATCAGATACAGGTCACATTATGTCAAAAAAAAAAAAATGAAATTAGGTCACTTCAGGCTGAATCAGCCTTCGACTTAAAAAAAAAAAAAAAAAAAAAAACTAGATTTTTGCAAAGGAAATTGGATTCATTCTCTTCTGAAAACAAAAGCATGTCGTCTCCAACCTAATGAGAAGGAAAACATCTAAAATTATTTATGGTGCCATTTGTTAAAGAAATGAAATGTCATTATTCCATTAAAAATGAACAACGAAAACTTCCATTTCTTATATCTACATTTAAAAGAGAAGTTGGTTCTGTGTCAGTTTTAGCCGGATTTATTAAGAGCCATTGTCGAAGGTCTAAAGGGACAGTTTCACGACCATACAGCACCAAGTCTTACATATGGCTGTACGCTGGGGATGGACAGTTTTTTTTCACTTGTAGTTTTTATAAAAAATATGATAAGAACTTTGACTTATCCTGTTAATGAACTTTGAACTCCTGTTACTGATGGAAGTTCAGATCCCTGTCGCAGCCACTACTGTGCTTTCTTCATGTCTTAGTGCTAACCCACCCAGTGAGAAAACAGGGTTGGTGCCAACATACTCCAGATCACACAGAGAAACATTTTCACCGTGAGAGTCAAAAACAACAAACCAAATCCTCTTTACCAACTGGAGTGAGTGTGGGGAGCGGCACGCTGTGTGTGTCCTGATATCTTAAAGGAAGGAAGGCAGTGAGCGTGCAGGTCGCACTGCACTGAGTGGGTGGCTTATATTGTGACTCAAGCTCCCGGCTGGACAGTGTCAGGTCTTTGTGACCCTTGCAGGGCACAGAAACAGATGAGAGTCAGGCTGTGACATGTCTCCGCCAACACACTCTGCCTCAGCGGACACTGGAAAGAGTGTGCATCAAGGCAGGAGCATGCGAAAGGAGCTTAAGCAGCCTGAAGCTCTTTGCTATTATCAGAAATATTCAAAAATATTTAACCAATTTGTTTTTTCCAGGTCAAGTTCCTAAAACGATTTGCTGTTGCATTAAAAACAATATGCAAAATACACACAAGCTGAGAAGAAATAAGAAAAACTCAAGTTATATGAAGGTTGAAATATAACAGCAGTGAATAACTGCTTTAGAAAGCTTGTGTGATGAAAATCAGTGTATCTCATATATTTTGTCTTAAGCTTTTTTTTTTTCATTTTAATAAACAATTTTTATAAGTGCAGAGAAACTGTTACAGTAATCAAAGTGAGGCATCTCAAGAATCCCCCAGACGTCAGGATCCAACTGAACGAGTCCAGATCACCACTTGTTTTCACCATGGTCGTCTTCATCATCCTCCACATTCATCCCCCCTTCCCTCCTCCCATCTCTCCATTCTCCAGGTCTACCGCACTGATAAAAGCTGATGGCGGGCTTGATGGAATCCTGAAAGGAACGCTAGGCAGGGGGCCAGATTCACTTCATTTAGCCTTTTTGCAGATGTCTATTGTTTTGGTGGAAGCTGTGTGTGTGTGTGTGTGTGTGTGTGTGGTGTGTGTGTGTGTGTGTGTGTGTGTGTGTGCGTGTGTGTGTGTGTGTGTGTGTGTGTGTGTGTGTGTGTGTGTGTGTGTGTGTGTGTGTGTGTGTGTGCGCGTGCACACATGCATTGTGGGAACAAGTTTCCTGACACATATTACGATGTTTGGACCGAAGCCTTTTCCCCAACAGGGGGAATCCTGATTTTGGTTTAGGGGTTAGGTTTATGACTAAGATATGAATTGAATTTTGGTTAGGATTAGGTTTTTAAAAGATGCAGAAATGAATGGAAGTCAATGGAAAGTCCCCACAAAGATAGCGTGATGAGCATGTGTGTACGTGTGTGTACGTGTCATCCCCCTAGCAATGGGAGAGGAGGAGACGACTGCAAGCCTGAGCCCATCTTTTTCCCTCCCCTCCCTCCTTCCTTCTCGTCCTCATGCTCCTTTCCATTCCTCTCCACAGCCACCAGGACCGTCCTCCTTCTCTTCCCTCCACTCTGCTTGGTTATCCAATGTGCCGTCGTCCCCGGTGCCTAACTGCTGGAGACCAAGTGGAAGGCGGCAGTCTCTGGTGATTCTTTCCTGCACATCTACTGAGACAAGAGACTCAGGCTGCGCTCGCTGTCTGCAGACAGCTGGATCTTGGATTTTCCTCTCTCCTCTGGAATATTCCTCAGCAGACTCAATCCGTGGACCTGCCTGTTCTCCCGTGCTGGCTGCCAGCAACACGCCACCAGCTCACCCGACAGACATGATGCAAAGCGCTGGCACGGGGGCTTCACATTCCAACGACACCCCCAGAAATGACGGCAGCAACAGCAGCAGCATAAAGCTGAGTATGTGCAGGTTTATGGAGACCCTGTGGAAGAAGGCAGTGGGTTTCTTTAGCAGAGTTTAGGCAGAGCGAGGAAGCCGAACTCAGAAGACTGAGCAGACAAAGAACGATGAGCAGAGTGTGTAAGGGGCTGAGATGGAGTAGGTAAGACCCCTGCTGCCAGAGTCTCTAGAACTCCACAGAGACGAGTGAGGGAGCAGAGAGGAAGGTGGGGGGTAAAGGGGTTTTGCAGCTGGTGCTGAGGAACATGGGAATTTGTCGTGGATCTGTTTCTGCCTTCTCTCCTCCGTCACCGAGGCGGTGACAACACACACCCAGTCTCTCCCTGTTTACCCCTCTGTCGCTGCCTGGAGCAGCTTCACACACTCATTTCTTCTTTGAGGTCCCAAACAGCATGCTGGACGATGCTTTGTACATGAAACGCCTTAAGGTAAGCCGTTTCCCAATTATCTGAATTGATTTTCAAGGACAGCAGTAAAGTTGTGCCAAAATGGTAAGGAGACAATAAATAGAACAAAGAAAACTAATCCTGAGCAGTTCTTTTGTTCATGCAAAAAAATGACAGTGTTGTGGAACTGTCACCAGAGTGGAAGGAATTTACTCTGTGCAACAGAAAGTTTCTAGATTTGTTGAGAACAGCCATCTTTGATCAACTGGAGGATGTTAATCAGTAACAGCCAGCTGCGCAGGCTTCTAATTCAGCATGGGGGAACCCCACTGGGAGAGCGTTGCTGTTATTTTAACACTTCCAGTGCATTAAAGCTTTCAATCTAAAGGTTGGTCATAGCATCATTTACCTCAGGAGCTTCATGGAGTGAATTTTCCACAAATGAGATCACCGTTGTTGATTCCTTCTCTGATGCCTCTGTCATCCCATATAAATTTATGTATTCTTGCATCCAGAGCAACTCTCCAGATCCAGCCATTCGTCCCCCAGCTTAGTGTGTAGCTTTAGTCATCATAAGTGATGACTTATTTCATGGTCTGGATCCTGTCTTCTCAATTCACCCTTCCATCTCGTCCTTTCTGGTATTCGTCTTTACAATTTCTCCTACCGTTGTCTCTAATTGTTCTTTATTTTCTTGGTGAAACACTCTTCTCTCAGAATCAGTTCCACATCTGTCATTTCTTGAACCGTGCCCAGTTTGTTAGCTTGAACCTGTTAGATGCATCCCTTTCTCTCACCCATCTGACTTCAGTCAACTTTTAATACTCGAAGTCGTGATATAACCCTTATCCTCTTTTTAACGCTTTATGAGAGTAGGTTTGCTTGGTTATTTGGGGAATTTTTCTCGTTACTCTGGGTCAACCATGAACTTTCTCATTATGTGGCCCAACCCAGAAGTCACCGCTTTAAAGCTTTCATCCCAGAGTCTGTGCTGACATTAAATTCCAGTTGCTCCAGATCAGAAACACCAGGATTCAGAATATAAATTCAGCCTCTTTCTGTTTCAAACTAAGCAGTGCTATTGCTCTGTGTCTAACATGGCCTCCATAAATTTCTCTTCTCCCAGGTCAGGTGAGCTACAGGACCATGGGCACCACCGTCATCACGCTGGACGATGTGCAGGCGCTGGAGGCCAAGGAGGAGCAGGAGGAGTCCATCTTGGCCATGCTGGGCATCGTTGGCACTTTCCTCAACCTCTTTGTAATAGTTTTTGTTTACATTTATACCACGGTGTGAGGATGGAATCCCATGATTGGAAAACACTGATCAATGGTAAAACCTTAGGAAAAACTGCAGCCTGACATGAACATCTATCCCAGATCAAGATGGAAGAAACGACAGGAAGTGTCTGAAGATGACAAAGAGGACGGCATGCTGCCACATCACATGTTTCATCTGGAAAGATAACGAAGGGCTTAAAGCGAATGCGAGACGAGTCACGTGAAGAAAGGGAGTCCCCCCCCAAAACGAACGCTTTCTGGCTCCCGGCATCTGGGACTGTTTGACTAATGAGGATGACTCTGGTGCCATTATTCCACTAAACTCAGTTGAATTCTACAGTCGTTCTCCTTTACAACGCAGAGTGAAACCTGGAGGAGTGATTGGTAAGGCCCACTCGACCAGCACCGCTCCTCACTTCCTGAACCCCCCCACAGACATATACATATACAACACACATGGCATTCAAGAAAAGTCCTGCGACAGCTCTACATCCTGAAGAAGATGGATTTCTAAAATATAATGAAATAAACTACTGTTCTCGGGTTAAAAAGAAACATTTCCAAGATTTAAAAGTTCACATATGGAGCTATTTTTGTAAAAGGACATCTTTACAGAGGGTAAAAATTTAGGAGAAAGACAAGATTGTGATTTTAAAAAAAGCAACTTGTGTATTAAAATACGAGCAAAAGCAAACTTATGCTGTATTTTTGTTCATATTCATAAAAGATGAAGGATGTGTCCAGAAACTCTTACAGAAAAGAGTTTTTTTTCCCCCTTCTACTTTTTAAGAGTCAGTTTCTGTAACCTTTTCTCCATTTTACCAATGCTGTTTTTATGACTACCTGAATAAAGTCTACATGTACAGATCAATGATTCAGTTTACTAAATAAACCACAATCATTGCTATGATTGCTGGCCTAAGCTTTGCTGGTAAAAAAGAAAGGTGGGTGAGAAGTAGGCAGTTGACTTCTGACCTGGTTAGGTTTGATGGACTTTGGCTGATTTTGGAGGGAAACATTCATTCTTTTTATTCAACCAGGGAAACTATTGAGAATATGCTCTTACTTCCAAAGACAACCTGACAGTTGGAACACTGAACAACAACGTTGCACACATTTTAGAAAAGGAGAAACTAAGATGCAACCTATGATTTTAAAAACTATGTAAATGACTTCTAATGAGTCATGTGGACAACAACTGGAAGTTTTGCGCACATCTGTAATGGAAACACGGCTGGTGGACCTCAGTTCATCACCCATTACTCTCTAAAAAACTTTGACTGTTTTAACTTTCTAATCATTATAAAACATACGCAGAGACCTGGACAAACTAGTCCAGTGTGTCCTTTAAGGATGACTGCCAGCGACATCAACCGACGACTTTTGTCTGTTCAACACGACGTATAGAACATAAATCGCCATCACATTGTGTGTGTGTGCCGTATTCACATTAAAATGAACTGTTTAGAGTGCAAGAATTTTTTCAAGTGTTGTACATTTCCATTGTCATATTTAGCCACGTGGGCAGATTCTCACACCAGAAACTAATGACAGAGTGGTTCAAAGCACATCGGAGAAAGAAGAAAATCCTCATTGCAACATTTACCATTATGGCACTAAGAGCCAGCTAACTCTGCACAAGTTTGGTCCAAATATACAGCTGAATTCAACTGGGCTCATGTTGACTTCAAAAATGAAGCAAAAGCTGTGGATGTAGAAGGAGGGATTAAGGTCTGATAGTTTAATCAGACCTGAACCGATCACATTAATCTAAGGTCTGCTATGAACAAAAGTTATTTGTTGCTGAAATAGTCCTGAGACCTACACAAACATCACAACAACTGGCAAAGCACTGATAAATACATTACAGCTAAAAGCATACATCTATAGAAACTGTGTAATAAGATGACCTTTACCTCTCACGTTCATTACAGTTGAAACCAGATATTTACATACACTGAATAAAAAGACAAACCTAATCTTTTCTCATTGTCTGAAGTTGAATCACAGTAAACATTTCTTGTTTTAGTTTGGAGTTACACAATTTATTTCTACTTTCTAAATGCCACAAAACATTTATTTAGATATTTTCTTGTAACTTTCCTTAAGTTCAAAATTTTACATACGTTTAGTCTCAGTGGTAACTGTCTTTTAAACTGTGTGACTTGGGTTACACCTTTTGGGCTGTCAGAGGTTTCTGGAATGAATGATATATTTGAGTTAATTGGAGTTCGCACCAATGGATGTACTTGAAGGCCACGCCTGAAAAACACTGCTCACTTTTTGAAATGGAGCAAAGAACATAAAAAATATATAAAATCAGAAAAATAATGGGCTCCTGTCATCTAACAATTATATGCAAGTGCAGACAATATCAAATGTGTGAATCAAACCCAGGACAGAAAAAGATCCTGTGAAGATGATACTGAACCTGCTTAGAGAGTCATATACTGAGATGAACTGCTAGTCCAACAGCAGCAGACTAAACAGATCCCAGTTTGCAAACAGACTCAACCTGCAGTCAGAATCCAGTCAGAATCCAGAGCATGTGCTACGCAGCGCCACATCAATAAGCTTCAACTTCACAGCATTTGCCATACCGCTTATCTGCCTTGAAAACAGCCCTGTTCATAATCCATATTCTACACAACAGCAGCAGTTAGAAAGCTTTTCTCCTAGTGAAACAACTACTAAGAACACAGTCAAATTCTCATTTAATTCACAAATTAAAAAAAAAATATAATTCTACTCTGGTCTGATTGCTACAATTTCTGCATCAGCAATGCAGAAATTGAAAGAATCACAAAAGAAAAACATGAAATCAGGCCATTTCTATTCTGAACATACTAGAATGTAGACAGTGAGGTTCCACTGTTAGTGATCACTGCAAATCCAACCCAGAGTCGGGGTCTAAAGCCACAGAGCATGAAAGGACAAATGCTAACAAATGCTAACAGAAGAACCATGTGAAATTTACCCCTTAAGAGTAAGACATCTCAAACCATTGTCCTTTTACTAGATATACAATTAAAGACAAATAAAAGACCTATTTCAATTATCACACTGTTCCCATATGTTGCTGTGTAACCACAACCATTTCTGAAATGTGGGATAGAAAGAAGAGCTCGATCACATTGGCATCCCTCTCCGCCCCGTTGTCTAGGTGTTTATTTGGAGAGACATGGCACCAACCTGAGTCATTGCGTAAGTAGGAGGACATGGCAGGGATGAGGCAGGACTGGCTGAGCAGCTCCTGTAGCACTGTCGGCAGAGCTGAGCTGTTCTGAGCTCTGCTGTCTGTAGAGGCATCGGCACCGTGGCAGCTGCTGCTGGACCCTGCCGGGTTGATATAGCTGGCCAGAACCTGGTGGACGCAACACAACCAGTATTCCATTTACTTCAAAACAGCACCTCAGCCAACATCTTACATGTGTCGTTTATAACTCTTTCTTTTCCCCTCAACACAGGATTTCCCCCAGGGTATTATAAGCCTTCCTCCCACAGTCCTAAAACATGACTGTTAGGTAAATTGATCTCTCAAATTCTCCTTAGGTGTGTGTGTGTGTGTGTGTGTGTGTGTGTGTGTGTGTGTGTGTGTGTGTGTGTGTGTGTGTGTGTGTGTGTGTGTGTGTGTGTGGGTGTGTGTGTGTGTGTGTGTGGGTGTGTGTGTGTGTGTGTGTGTGTGTGTGCATGGTTGTTTGTCTTGTCTGTTTCTGTGTTGCCCTGTGACAGGCTGGCGACCTGTCCAGGGTGACCCCACCTTTCACCTGGAATGTAGCTGGAGATAGGCACCAGCAACTCCCGACCCCACTAGGGTCAAGGGTGAACAGAAAATGGATGGATGGCATTGGAAACACTTATCACATCACACAAAATGCGTGGTCAACCAGATGTTGCCACTGGCGCAAACCACAAAGAAGACAACAGGAAGAGGTAGGAGGAAGATGTTTTTAATAACTAATTTCTTGTTTAATGGAAACACCACAATTGCAAAATTGTGCGCACATTTGTAACAGAAACACAGATAGGGACAGTAAAGACGGATTAAGCTACGTTTCTAGTTGACACACTGAACTGGTTGCGCACCTATTGTGCCGTTCCTGCATCTGCCCGTTAGCCTGACAAATTATTATTTCAAAATTATGATGCTTGCTCATGTACCTCCAAAATCTTTTGTAACTCTTAACATTTTTAAATATAAAAATTTGATGGGCCGCTGTGGACTGCCCTAGTGCCCCTACCGCCCAGCTTAAAAGGTCTGGGGGAAACTCTGCAACAAGCATATTTTTTATTGCGTTTTTAAAACCAATGAACGGCAGTGTATTTTCCTTAGTGACCTTCTCTTTGAATCTACCCTAAGGATAGCATTTCTTCCAATGTAGGAACTTCCATAAAAAATCTAAGCAATGTTTAATGATCTTGTAATCTTTAATGATCTTTGGAACAAAAAATCGGAACCACAAATAAATATTTAAAGAAACACCACTGTCTGTTTGGAACCAGAGGAAGCATGTGGGTTCAGCCTCCCAATGAGTAGAACGCAAGCCTCAGGAGACGTTACAAAATAGGAGTGAAGTTGCAAAGTGGAATATGTTAAAATAAAATCAAAATGTTTCTGTTTTTGCTGAAAGTGGTTTTGGAAATCATTTTGTAGCAAAAATGTGACATTCAATGGTTAATTCAATTGACTGGACAATCCTAAGCTGTAAATCAGTAAGTAGTTGCTCAGTGCAGCCCACTGAGCAACTCAGTGGACCTCAGTTCAGCCTCGCTCAAAGTGTGTGTGCATGTGTGTGTGTGTGTGTGTGTGTGTGTGTTTGAGTGTAAGACATAAATGCAGCCTGAGCTGCTGAATGTGAGAGCATCCCTAAACCACCTTACACACTTTCACACAGATAGCCTACAGACCCAACAAGGAAGCTGTTCCAGTACAGCCCATGCAAGACAATAATCCTCACATTATAACTAAAAATAAATATAAAAAATTAAAACACAGGTGAGCAGAGGGAAGTTGATATTTACCTGCAGCAGACAGGTGACATGTTCCTCCTCTAATCTCTGCTTGGTAAGGGCCTGCTCCACATCCCAACCTGAAGCTGTAGAGCCAGTACCAAAACCAGTTCCTTTAGCCCAGTAAAGCTGCTGCTCCTCACTCGTCCCACCACTGTGACAACTGGACATCTGCGGCTGCAAACACACAGACACACACATGCACACACAGAATTAAACTATACAAACAAGTGGATAATTTATTTATATTCCTTTTCCATGAACCAATTTTCCTCCTTATTGACCACATAGGGGTCAGTAATGCAAATTTAACACTATTTTAACGCTATTTGTTCCACACTTTTGTGCGAAATTGTATAATTTCAAGGCTGACTTAGTCTTGTTTTGTCTCCTATTGATCACTGAACCTGTTGGCTTTATATTCCTCCAGGCAGAACAACATTATTGTCCCCAATCCAAATCCTGTTCAGTAAAGTTTTGCAGGGCAACCAGAACTTGTTCAGTGCATTTATTCATTCTTGCGGTCCCTGCTTCAGTGAAGCAAATCTGAACTATATATCTTTAATTGTGGTTAATTGAAACACTGTTTCTCTAAGCATTTTTTACAATTATCAGTTTTTCAAGAAATACTCCAAACATTAAGAGTTAATTTAGTCAGAAATTAACTCCATCAATTGGACCCAAATAGACTCACAGATAAAAAAAAAATATTGGTTGCTTCCCACTAAAAGTTCATCACCCACTTTTGGTATAAGTGAGCAGGTGTTAATATCACCACACATTTAAAACTAAGCAAAGATCTGAACAGGGCTATGAGCCACATTTAACAACTGAAAGATCAGAGACAGTGAGATTCTGGGAAACTTGCCTATGAAGCTTAGCAACATCTGTTCACTAAGAGCTCATAAAATGAATAAATGCAGCTCATACAGAGATGTATTTAATAGGTGTGGGGGTCAGTGGGGCGTACCTCAGAGACGTTGCTGCTGGCATTGGGGTTTCGAGGGGCATGGTGGCTCAGAGCTGACAAACAGGCCAGGATTAGGTGAATGGCGCCAATCTCTAAAGCCATGCGGCGCAGCAGTACTCCGTCATCAGTAGTCAAAGGTGTGCTGCTGAACAATGCTCGAAGAACATGGAATGGCAGGGTGGGCAACACGTTGGCAGAGGGGGACTGCAGGATATGACCTAAAAGAAGATCAGAGCAAAAACCTCCATCATTGGTCTTTTATTTTTTATATATATTTTTTTTAAATACAGTTTGGATTTATAAGGACGCTGGCAGGTTCTTTTTACTGTACATAAAAGTTAAGTTCCAGTTCACAACTGTTACAAACAGCAGATTCTAAAAGGTTGACCAGAGTTTTATTCAGAGACAGCTTTAGGTGATGAGTGAAGGTGCTGGGTGTCCGCATGGCAGCTCGACTCTGTAGCAGGAAATGGTTTCAGACTTACTGCCCTCTCCGTCGTCCGTGACGCCCAGCACCAGACGCAGCAGACACTGCGCGTGCTTCCTCTCCTTCAACAACACCTCAGCGTACCCCGGCAGGCGCAAGAACAGGCCGAACGCTGCCAGTGAGTGGGCCGGAATGGGCGACATGGACTGCACCGAGGATGAAGATGAGGAGGAGGAGGACTGGGACTGCTGCTTGTTCACAGGCGGCGGTTCTGCAGCAGCAGACTCGGGGGCTTCGTACACCAGCTCGCCTGACTGCTCGATGGTCACCCATTCAAACTGGTCGCTGTCTTTAGATTTCTCCTGGCTGGATGCTGGGATCAGCGGGGCGCTGACCTGAGAGGAGGACCCAGCAGAGCAGAAACTGAGCAGTGGTCTCAACACATGACTCATCACTGCATGCAGAGTCAATGGATTTACTGCACAAAAGAGCTATTATCTTTGATTTTACAGACAAATTTTCTACAACTTCTTACAAGAACTTTAGCTAAGATGAACACCAATGTTTTTTGTCAGACTTTAACTCACCTGCTGAATGACATCAGGGTAGAGCATGGGCAATCGCTCTGCAATCAAGGCCAGCCCCCCCATGCCAGCAAAGACCTGCAGTGGTGACTGGATGGGGTTGGTTTCCAGCAGGGACTCATCAGTTGCAGCATCCAGACATTCTTCGCTGACCATCATTGGTTCATCCTCAGGACAGCTGTTGAGCATGTCGCAATGGTCCACTGCAGCAGGACAACACAGAGGTCATCTTCACAAAACCCCTGCAACCAGATTCTAAGCAATGCTGTCCATGTACGCGACCTCACATGTCTGCTACTAGTCAGAAAATGATTTATATAAGTTTTATATTTCATATTAAAACAAGAGTGAAGAGTAGAGAAGTTTAGGAGTTGCCGACATATTAGAAAAATCACGTGGCGGAAATATAATCTAGTATTTAATACGGTTTGATGAAGCAGATTATGTTTTATTGATACCAAGCCATCAGGTGAGGTGAATTTTCAAAATAAAAGTAAAACAACCCAAGCAATCATGTAATGGTAAAATCCACTGCGTGGATTGTGTTAGGTCTGCTTTTAGAAATCTATATGGAGAAGAGCGATGCTGCAGACTCCACTGCTGATCCCATCAAAATATTGATATTAAAGATTAATCTGACCTTGTGTGACCACATGAGTCTGCAAAAAAAACATCTAAGTATAAGCACACGTGGAGCAGCCATATCAGTTCTGGATGCCAGCGAGTCTGGCCCTGTTACATTCTGTCTCCACTAAACGTCCTTCAGTCTCCTCAATTAAATGAGACATAGATGTTGCACGGAAGCAAGGAATACAAATATCTAACTATCACAGGTCTACACAGGCATGTCGGCTAGCAAGCAGAGGAATATGGAGACTTCTTTCTGGAACATAACTAAATCAGCATTAATTGATATTGCAATTTACAAAAAAACATTATTAGTAACAAAAGTAACTAAAACCACCCGATGTAACAAACAAAAAGGAATAACTCTGCACTATGACTTGGTTCAGAAACAGATCAGTGAAAAGCAGAGAACAGATTTTTAGGAAACTAGGTTCACCTGCTATTGCTTTCATGTCTTTACATCACCCTGCCAGTGGGACTAGAGAATGAAATGAACCACTTGGATATAATCATTATTTACTAACATGCATTGGCTGATTATTCAGAATAGGTTGATCTGAAACAAACTTAGGTCACATTACTGCATAAATTGTAAATGGGAGGACAGAGGCAATCCAGTACCTTTTTCAGTGCGAAGCCTCTTGAAGGAATCAGTCTTAGAAAGTCCAGGGTCAGAGATGACCTTAGAGCCCAGCTTGACGGTCAGGTTGATGGACTGGTAGCCCTGTGGCAGCTTACGGTCATACAGGAGAGTGAGCAGCTGAGCCAGGGTCATCTCAGGGGGGAGGGGCTGACCTGAAAGCAACAACACCAGAGATATCAGAGATGAGCTCTGACTGCGTTCAGGCCAAACTTCTGCAGGAGCCTACACTACCTGGAAGAAGCTTGTGGTAAAGATGGAAGACGGGCACGCTGATGGTTTTGGCCGAAGGGTCCACGCCAGACGAAGAGGTCAGCTTGTCACCCACAATACGACCCCGTCGTGACGGAGGTCGTGGAGGGGTCAGAAGAGCTCGTTTGGACTGGGATTTTAAACCTAAAGATGGACACCCTGGATGAATTTAGTGACAGAAACACCGACTGATAACTATTTCAAAGTAGATATAGCAGTTTTTCATTTAACGAATGCACCAAAGTACCTGACGCTACAACCACACTGTAGTTGTCCTGAAAGCCGTTGTCTGCCTTCATCTTCTCCTTCTCCTCATGATTCTTTTTCTCCTTGTCCTCCTTCTGCTCACTGATCAACTTTGCTGTAATGCTGGGAGTGTCTGGATTGATGGAGAGAGAAAGTAAGAAAGGAATGTTTTGTCTCCCAGACTCTTCTACAATTCAGCAGCAGCAGTGGTGTATCAGGTTTCCCATCAAGTCCTTCAGGGAGTCAAGAGGTGAAGCATTAATCATGCACCCGGCTCACTAAAAGGTCATGTTGCAGCATAGGTGACCTTGCCGTCTACAGAGCATCCACTCAGCAGCAGAGCTTTAGTGTAGGAAGCAGTAGGTTGAATAATTAAAGCTGGATTCCATAAAGGGAAAGGTGAAAGTTTTCTGCAACGGTAGACGGCAACAGAAATTTATTGTTTCACGTCAAATGAAAATGACCAGAAACTTTGGATTAAAAGTGGAAATGTGACAGACATTTTAAACACCATGGCAACAATGTTTGCCATGGTTCCTACCTCCAATTATGAGATAGGAACAACGTAGGAAGAAAACAGCTGATTTTCTGAGCTAAAAGTGGCTGAAAGGGGGCCTCTTAAGGAAGCCACCCGTATTGATAACACCCAAAGGTGTCATCAACCCATTGGGTGGAAAAATGTCGACCTCCATGGGTGAAGAAGATATCAAAAGATGTAAATTTTTTGAAGTAATTATGAGTTTTAACACATCACAAACAGCAATTTTTTAATTAACAGGAACATTACAACATGTTTAGGTCAACATATTCAACTAATCTTGGATCCCTGTAATATCCTGATCCCTGTAATATCCTGAACAGATATGGACGGACAGACAGATACAGAACAGTTTGATGACGTTGATGTTAGCTTTAGGATCACATACCAGACACCCGGTCGAGGACCTCAGCTAGTGTAGTAGAGATTGGCAGATGGAGGGTGCGGTACTTGTGGCCTGCTCCATACATGGGATGCTGGATCATGTGGCTGGTGGCGTTGATGCGACCTTTATACAACTGAGGAAAACAGGACATGATGTTTTAGAAACGCTCTCTTTAAAAAGACATACTGAGAAATTTCATTTATGTCATGGTTTCATCTGCAGCTGCAGAAACTATGGAATTTAAGTTGGACATTTTCAGCATTTATCCAATACTGCCCTCTTGTGTTTACAACTGAACACAGGATATATCAGTGGATCTGAAACAAGGTGGAATGTTGTTCGTCCAGAAAAACATGAAAGGCAAATTTCAGCTGCTTTCAACTTTACAGCACATTAGCAGATGTTACCGCAGACCATAATTTAGTTTAATTAGGAATCTAAGACGATCTGATAAATTTAAAAGGGGCAGTCAATTTTATAGCACAATCAAGTAACTACGTTACTTTCAGTTGTTATAAAAATGTTAGATTCATCAAATATGACTTCAAAGAACTTACAAGAAAGACTTCAGATTTTACCACCTCAAATTTGAGCTCGTCTTTTTAAAAAACTTCTTTTTCTGAAACTCCCCCTTCAGAAAGTCATCACATCGCTCTTTTATTCATCTTTTCACAGCAGATTTACTGTTCTGTCAGGTGTTTGCTAATTGCTGCTGACTAGTCTAAAGGAACTGAGTGGGAGAGTCACGGAGGAGGACAACTCTGAGGGGGAAGCTCTGAAGCTTGGAAACTGCACCTCAAAGGAGGCTTTAGGTCCAATAATGCGTTTTGGAAAGCTGAATGGTTGCTTTGGGAGATTAAAGGTTTTCTCAAATATGTGTGAAAGAATCAAAGCAACACTCCAGGTATAATTTTGATCATAATTATAATTATAATATGACATAAAGCTAAAAAAATAGTAATAATTTTACATAATACTGCTCCTTTAAAGGTTCCCTGGACAACACAAAGCGGTTACTAATCGGATAGCAGGAAGCAATGACTTACTGGGCAGGGGGACTGGAGGAAGACTGTAACTTTCTCATCCTCCAGCATGAGCTGCAGGAAGAGTCTTCGGATGAAGCCTGAGATATTTTGGGAGATGGGAACGTTGCCTCGTTGGGGAGCCGACTGGAAGAGTTCACACAGCACCTGCAGCCAGCAAACACACTCTTAGAATACACTGAGGGAAACTGACTGAGGATGAGGCCAAGATGTGCTGATACAGACCTGTGCCATGAGCCGCTGGTTGCTAGGGTGACAGGAGATGCACTGAAGGAAAAAAGCCACAGTTGCGTTCTCTAAAGCCGTTCTCTGCTGTGTGGTGAGACCCCCCGCCTGGCTGGATGACAACTGGGAGAAGTGAGACCCTGTTTGTGGCATGGGGGCTGGAGGTGGACCTGCAGCAGATCCGGTGGCCAGCGGCTGACAGCCAGGACTGGAAGCAGCACTGGGACCAGTACTGGAACCAGCACTGGCGCTGGAGTGGCAGAGCAGGAAGAGCAGCGCCGTCCACAGAGGGTAGACCTCAGGCCCACCGAGCCAGTCCTTCATTGAGTGACTGTTGCCCACCTCTGTGAGGAAGCGCAGCACCGGAGCAGCCAGTTCAGCGGCCAGGGCTGTCCTGCCTTGCTGGGACGGTGAGGGCGACAGCGAGTGGTAGTGGTGGTGGTGGCGCCTGTCTACCTGAGCGGCAGGTAGAGGCAGATCAGCACTGACTAGGAGTCCCACGCAGAACTGGACCAGGCTGCGCACCAGCAGCGAGGGCAGGCCTGAGTCCAGCAGCTGCTGGATGGCTCCTGGGGACTGGGAAGCGGCTGCAAGGGTGGTCAACTGGGACTCGGAAAGGTTGACTGGGGGTCTAGCATGTTTTGAGTCATCTGTTAGTCCACCAGTGCTAGCATCATGCTGCTTTTTCCCATCATCCGTCATTGCAAGTCGCCGCTGCTGGGCATGGGAGTGGCTAGCTGTTGGCACGGAAACGATCTTCATCCAGGACATGAGCAGGGTGAAGTAGCTGGGGTGAATATGACACATGGAGCACAGCAGGCTGTCCACAGCCTTCTTCAGCACGATGTTGCATGAGAGAGACATGGACCAGTTGAACAGGAGCCTGGAGGACAGAACGGAGAACAGCGTCAGCCATGACAACTCTAAACTAGAACATTGTGTGATTCAACTATCAGAAGAGCAGAACTGACTCAAAAAGTTCTCTGTTGAGAAGCCCAGGAAGATCATAGTCAACAGGCAGCTCGAAACTGTGCCACAAGATGGCCGCCACGCAGTGGAGGTGAGAGGGAGAAGGCATGAGGAGACCGTACTCTCTGGAGGAGGAGGAGGAGGAGCCGGCAGAAGCGTAACCCGCAGGAACACTCATTTTATGACCTGCCACTCTGGACGAGTCGTACACCCAGTGGAGCAGAGCCTGGATCCTGGAAGGCACAAAAAACATCCAATCATGTTCATTCACAAGTTCATGTACCGCAGAGTGAAATATCAGGATGTTTCTATTTCAGGTCTCCCTGAAGGATGTTGTCAAAGACCATTTCTCCTCAGGGAGAGAGAAACTAACTGGACAGAAAAGTGATGCAAGAAGTGGTCTGTACCTGTCTTTGGTTCCAGAGTCCTGCGTGGTTCCCAGCTGGTACAGAATGTCAATGGTGGAGTCAGAGGAAAGGCCGTTGAGGCGTCCAAACAGCAGAGGACTGTTTAGATCTGTTCAAGACAAAACACACAGAGCGAACACACACACAGAGAGGTTACACCCAAAATGTACTAATGAAACACAGAGATTACCCAGAGTGCACTGGGCTATCTCTGGGTTTAGCAGGTTGTCAAGTTTCTGAGAAGTAACAATTATGTTGGCAGCGGAGAGCAGAAACCAGGAGGATGGGAAATAAAAACCCTCTGGATCCACAGTGATAAGGATCAGGGTCTACTTAACAGCTTCAGAACTGCTCTATAGCCATGACAACCACTCAACTCCAAGTAAAATTTTAGGGATAAGTGTTGAAAAGGATCAGTATGAGGCAGAAATATGTCAGGTCTTTCTAGAAGCAAATTCCTAGCTTGTGCAACACAATCTTGGACATAAGTTGGACTCACATTAACAAATGGTAAATCTCTACTCATGTTTATTTCTATCATAACTGCAAAAAATGCATAAAACATAACTTGCTTAAACCAGCAGTATATAACTTTTCTAAAAAAAAAATATATATTTGTCAAAACATTTGTCATTACATTGTGACTATACTATGAGACAAATACTCTGAAAAATTGAGCTCCTCTGCCTTCTTTTAGTACTCCAAGTGCTAACTAGAAACAACCAATCAGGGCCAGGATGTGGGTGTTAGCGCTGTCAATCAGGCATGTGAATCTATCCCTACCCTGTGCCCCTCTGCTACATTATAGCTTCTTTGTAGCAGAGGGGCACAGGGTGACAGTTTTAACAAGTCTAGCAATATCTGAATAAAAGGAAAAATGTCTAACAGGGACCACAGTGCCTATTGTGCTTAAAACTTAACCTAATTTCTTGATTTGCAACAAACATCAGGAAGTACATCTTGTGGGGGCAGAAGAAACAACCAACCAGAGCAAACCATGTCAAAGCTCTGCCTTATCTTGGAAAACATTTAGGGAATTAAAAAGTTCACTTCTAATAGCTGGTAATTGTTGCTAAGAACCAGGGTTCTCTTCGGAATGCTCACACGCCAGAATGAGACCAAAACATGTCGCATCATCAATAAATGTAGGTAGAGCAGCTATACCATGTGATGAATGCACAGCCATGGCAACAAACTCTGATGTAATTGAGCCTTTTCTAATATGAGGAATCTCGCATGTTGAGTGCTCCAAACAAGAGAATTGAATGAGAAACCCACAGCAGAAAACACAACTGAATCCAACTGGAAGTTGCCTGAAGACAAACTGAGGCTTATGAAGAAACATTTCTCCTTCTGAATAGAAATAGAATATTTAAAAAAAAAAAAAAAAGCTCACTGAGGTAAGGCTAAAGAACCAGCAGCATCGTCACTGAGGACAACAGGAGCTGGTTCTAGTTATTTACACCGTGTGAATATTTAGTCAGTGAATATATCAATGTGGCGGTTGTGTGGACTCACTTGCAGGGTCTGTGCCAGAGGCAGCACAGTTCCTCAGCAGAATGTCTATGAGTTTGAGTCCGATTCTCGTGGACTGCAGTCCTATTTTGACCAGCACTGCCTCGATGTTGGGGGAGTGCATGCCGCAGTAGGGAGACATGAGCAGAGCAGCACAGGTCTGCAGCAGGTTGGCTGTGGGTGCTGCAGCACTGGCCATCATGGCCTCCAGGTCCCCAACATGAGTCAGGCAGTGATGGAGCAGGCGGAGCCACCCGATGCTGAGGAGGCAGAGAGGGAATGTCTCAACTAGGGATGTGCCGATCCCCTTTCTTCATACCAATACAATACTTTATCGACCTAATACAGAACATCAGTGCTGAATTGACTTTGAGTGTTTCTTTTTTTAAATGCAGACATAAAGGTACGGAATTACAAATTCATTTCATAACTCTGAACCAGATCAGCACACTTAAACACACCAATAAATTTACAAGCTGGGTCAAACGTAAAAATAACAACTTTAATTTGTTCAGTCAGTGCAATTACTACTTGTTTAACAGCCAATGTAAAACAAGTAGTAAAGCATCCTGCATGTGTTAGTTCTCTCCCTGGTGGTAGTAACAACCTCCTCAGCAGGTCAATGTTATTCTTAGACCTTCTATTGAGCCCTCATTTGATCCAGGTGCATTAAACCACTGAGAGAACTAACCGGCCCTCAAGGACCGAATTTGGGCACCAATGTAGAAGAGAAAGTAATGAAAAGAATAGGTTGACTTCCTTGGTCTAAAATGTAAAAATAAACAGTGACAAGACAAACCTGCTTTCAAATGGCTTAAAAGTCCAATTAGGAATTAAAAATTTTATCACAGAAGTGCGACATGGCTCAGAGTACAAGGCATAGAATTAGACTAACCAGATCTGCCTTGACAAATTGGGTACATTGTCACGATACACAATCCGAAAGTTTTTCTATATATTAATATTGGATCGGTGCATCACTAGTCTCAACATCAGCTGCTGTACACCCAGACAGACTTATTGAGGGAACGGTGCGTACCTGGTTTTAGAGACCTGGTCCTCAGAGGGCAGAAAGGGGTTGTTGACCGTAGCAGAAGAGGTATTGCCAAACGCCGTCAACCCCAGCAGTTTGATCTGAGAAAGCCCCAGGGTGCTGGCGTCCCGCGGCCGGTGGAGCCTCAGGCACACCGCGGACGCCACTTCGGCCTTCACCAGCTGGATCTTTATGTAGGTGAGGCCACTGGTGAGGACTGGTGTAGAAAGAGGCAACATGTTGACACCGTCTGCACTGATCTCCACAGAGACGGAGGATGGGCAGGCTGAATGGTGATCGGAGGGAAAAAGAACAATAACCCCAAGTTTTTATTCCAGTGACAGGAAAAAAACATGTACTGATCCAATGCATACAAGGTGCTGTATACGCTGAGTTATTATTATTATTAATATTATAGCCACTAACACCGGACTTGGCAGGTTTTCTGGGGAAAACCTGTATCATTATTGTTATTAGTTATTGTTGTTGACTGGAATCCAACTCACTGGCCAGAGAAGCTAGATGAGGCTGGATGTGGACCTCCTTGAGCAGCACAGCAGCAGGAAGGTGGATGGTGAGGTCACACCACGCCTCCTCTGGCAGGAAGATGTAGGACCAAGCAGCTGAGCGTGCCCGGCGGTGGGGGGGCGTGGCCTGAAGCAGAACCTCTGCTGGTTGTGCAGTGGGGCTGCTGGATGTGATGGTGCCTGGGGACGAATAAACACTCGTTAGATTTAACCTGTAAGGTGTAGAACCTATCACTCATCTACCTGATGTGGAAAACAGTCAGATAAAACGTACCTAAAGGAGCGAAGTTGTGGAGTCCCTCAGCGTTGTCTGGCTCCGACGTCATCACCCTGGCCTTAAGGTTACCGTCAGCAGTTTTCCCAGGACCAGAGTCCAAGAATTTCATGATGGTGGACACCATACTGCGTGCTGTGTTCACAATGGCTCTGGTGCTTGTCACCATGTTGTTACAGATCAACTGTACACCTCCTGAAGAGTGAGAAGAAACTTGGCTATTATGAAGGTTCTCAATGCTAATGCATGTGATTAATCTGAAAATGTAAGTGCAACTTCATCTATTTTGACATAAAAGTGTCTCCTACACAGGGTTACCCAGTTTACAGCAGCGTGTTATGGAAGTGACACACAGGGAGCGACTGACAGCAGCAAGAGATACGTTTTCAGCGACAGAAGACAGCAAAGTTGTTGAAAATCTTCAACCTTTTTGTGTTTCATCGTTAGCCCACGTGTGCACATCTACGTGTACAAGTTCAAAATTTCACACGCACGAATCACGCCGGTTACGCAGCAGGCGTAACAGCTGGGTAATCTCTGGTTACAGCTGGATAACCAGCTGTTAAGCCAGCTGATGAAGATGTCCTCATCTCGTCCACAAAATGAGGAAAAAGGCTGTTGCTTCATCACATAAGTTCCACAGGAACTTAACCGAAAGATACATTTTTAAATTAACAATAGAAACACAATGAATTCCTCTGAATTTTTCTGAACATAAAAAAAACCTGAAAACAAAGAATCTTCAGACATGTTTGGCTGGAGACAATAAAACGTTTTTTGAAAACGTGCGTACAGTGGCGGTTTTTGATATTGGACTGTACGGGTTGGCATCAGAAATGAACTAGAAAATAAAATCCAACTATTCTATCAGTTTTCCCCTGAACATGTTTTCTACTTTTAGTATGCATGCGCAGTACGAGAGTAAGTTTCCCTTTGTTGCTGATGAGTTCTGGGAGACTACATTATCTGCTACAAAAAAAAATAAAAAATCTGACAATCGCTTCAATTTTAATTGGCTGGAGAGCAGCTGGGGTTATTTGCACAGCTGCGTGGCTATTTATTTTTCAGGCTTACACGGATAAGCATAGTGATTGCTCCTGATTAATCACAGGGCCAGAGTGTGATTAATCTCATTAATTCTTTTCATCAATTGAAAGCACTATTTTTAACATTTATGGACCTCCAAAATAAAATGACAATATTTACCATGATCTGATTATTGTGGCAATAATCAGTCACAACCTGATGGTTAAAGAAGAAACTAAATATGTGAACACCTACCCATGTCATGGAAAGCCTTGAGAGCTTCACTGGTATCCAACACACGCAGGATGAACCACAGAAGAGGCTCCGACAGCTGGCAGGTGGAGAGAGAACCCTACCATCAAACAAACAGAGACCCAGTAAGGTTTGCCTGACTCTAATTTAGAAAAGCTAATTTCGACACCTGACGGCAGCAACTGGTTGTACCTGTCTGCCCATGTAACCGCAGGCCATGTAAGTGAGAATGGGCTGCAGCATGACCTGCACTGAGCTGGCCCTCTTGCTCAGAGTGGTAAGGATGGTGAAAAGGCCATCGCCCACTGAGATGGCATCCAGACCGCCATGGAAGTTCTCATGTTTAGTAAGATGGAGACCGCTGGCACCTGGGTAAAGCGTTTTCATCATCACCATCAACACACTCAATATGAACTGCTAAATTCCAGAATTTTCATATTGTTTGATTAAAAACACTTCCACAGGGATGCACCAATCCAATAGTAATGTTTGTATCTTTACAGATATATGTAAAGATATATCAGTGACAATGTACCCAATCCAAAAGAGCAGATATATTCGGTCTAAAGTCTATGATTTGTGCTCTAGGGGACATAGCACTTTACTAATTATTTTGCATATTATTTAAAATTACTAACTGTACTTTGTGAACCTTTTGAAAGAAGTTTTGTTGCAGTTTATTTTTGCTAGTTTCAGTTTATTCACTTTCCATTGGCTCTCCTGCTCCTGATTGCACTGGCTGAAAAAATTAATGCTGAGTTGTTTTTACATGTTTGACCAGGTTTATGAAGGTATTTGTGTATTTACGCGTGCTGTACTGGTGCAGAGTTATCAAATAAATTAGAAATTCACTACCTTTATGTCTGTGTTTTAGAAAAAGAAACATCTTAAATTAATTCAGCACTCTTTTTCTGTGTCAGATCAGTCAATTCGATACCTCAACTCAGATATCGGTAGTGAAATAACTGGATCGGTGCATCCCTAATAGAAAGCAAAACAAAGCAGGTGAAGATGCTGATCTAGTTTGACGAATCCGACAGAAAGTGAAAGTATTGGAATGACTGAATAGAAGTCTCACCGATGATCATCGCCATGGCACTGCTGTTGCACTGACCCAATGCTGACAAGATCTGGCTCATTATCTGCTGGTTAGCTAGCACCAGGTCAGCCACGCCAGCAGGGGGCCCGGGACTGGATGAAACTCCTCCCGCCACACTCTCCTTGCTTCCACAGACCTTCTCCTCATCTGAGACGCTGCTGTCGGCGGCACCGCTGCCAACCGGCGGCAGCCGCCCGCTGAACTCGCGGTCCCCTGACAGAGGAAGCTGCACCAGCACGTTCACCAGTTTCAGCAAGTTGAACATGAGCTGGTCGCGCGTAGTTTCCCCACACACGGCCTTGGCGTCTCCGGGTCGGATGATGTTGGCAAACAGACCTCCGAAGCAGGCGCGGGCCCCCACGGAGCTGTCAGAGCCGCTGCGGGACACCACCTTGTCTGAGCATGTGATGTAGTGGTGAACCAGGAACGTGATGGACTCCAGGACGGAGGAAATAGTGGACACAGAAACCACCTCAAAGTTCTGCTCTAGGGTAAAGTCCAGCAGCTTGACCTGGGCATCCAGAGGACCCTGGCCCGACTGGAACGGGCCCCTAGGGAGTCATCACAACCTGTCAGCTATACCTCTTAAACTCTGATTGAGCTGATTTGCCGGAAGCTCACCTCTCAGTGGACAGGATGTGGATGAGCTTCAGGAGGAACTCGCTGAACATCTGGGGGCAGGTGGAGGACAGGTGGACCTGCAGGCGGCTCAGGAACTCATGCATAGCCTGTGTGGCGGTGGGGCCCACCTGGGAGCTGTGCTGACTGGTCCCATTGGTGCTACTGCTGGACAGGAAGCGCACCAGCACATGGACAAGGGTGGGATCTGACACCATCTGTTGGGCCGTGCTGTCCTGGCAGTTCAGCACGCTGATGGAGGCTGGAGGCAGAAACAAGGCTTTAACACACACACACACACACACACACACACGCACGCACGCACGCACGCACGCACGCGCGCGCACGCACATCCTCCTGCATTGTGAGGGCCCCACTGACCAGAGGTGGGCATGTTGGTCATCAGGGTGAGGGAGTGTAGCACCAGGCACCATGTTCTCAGGGATGTGCTGGGGTACCAGGCCAGCACCGAGATGAAACTGCTGACAGAGGCTGCAGACACACACACACACACACATATAAATATATACATACGTATATATAAATATATACACTTACAGAAACAGTAAAGCAATCTGAGACGGCTGTGGGGTTTAAGAGTCCACCTTGGTTGAGCGGGATGGTGGGCACCCGGCTGGCGTTGAAGAGGAAAATATCTGATCCGCTGTCTTCGCTGCCACCAGAACCCGTGTTTAGACTGAGCGTTAGCCACAACTGCAGCAGCGACTCCAGCTAGGAGGAGAACACATACATTTCACCTGGCTGCTCCTTATTATAAACATTCACCAAGCCCATCGCTTCTCCAACTCGAATGATAAAAGATGGTGGAAAAATGCTGTCTCCGAGATTCCCCCAGTGCATTTTAAGACTGGTGGGTCACCAGGTTTAACTTTTGCCCCCACCAGGCTTAGCATTGCTAATTTGTTTTATTATAATTTTTTTTTAATGATAAGCTTTTTCTTAAGAATAATAGCTGGTGTTTCGCTATTAATCTTCTAGTCTTCCAATTATGCATAGCTATCAAGTGATATTTTAAAATTTCCTGTTAAATATAACCATGTGTTACCTCAAACATGGATGACTGCCCTATTGCCCCGAACACCAGGCTAGGAAACCCTGTATCTTGTTTATTAAACTCTGAAACCTGAAGAGGAACTTGTGGGACTACATTTCCCGAAAGATTCTCTACTTCAAATGACCTGAATAAACTGAGGTACCAGACAGGCAGCAGGGACAGAGCATCTTCAGAGTCAATCACCTGTACATGGTGGACCTGCAGCATGGAGAAAAGCTTGTTGAAGCAGTTACTCAGAATGGGAACAGAGGAGGGCTGGACGGTGGGGCCGCTGCAGGGTGGGGAGCCCCCGCTGTGGAATGCTCTGAGCAGGGAGTCATCGGTACCATTGGCAGGCTGAGTGACTGCAACACAAACACACAAAGTCTTCATGTAGTACACAGAGCATGGTGCCACACTGACACAACTATGGCTTCCTGTTTTTCCCCAGAGGAAAACATTTTAGCCTTCTGCTGTGTTTATAAGTAACAAAGATAAAGGGACAGTTATTTCCATGTGGGAAGAGTTGAAGTAATGAATAAGATCAAGATAAAATTCTCAACAAGTCTTTTCTTCTTCAGAGCCAGACTGCAAACAGAAAGTCAGCAGCAGCAGGTCAACAACAACAGGCATAACCCTGGGATCCAGCAACATCCAGCAAGATAATTTATTCATGAAACTTGAGAAACTACATTATACTAAAAAAAACAGCAGGGGCCCTGAGCTCTTTCCTCAACTATAGGGAACAACTTTATTTAAAAATACCTCAACTCCAAATGGAAATAAAATGGTTTTACTCCCACTTATCTAAGTTTACTCAACGAGTGATTATAGAGGATTATGATAATAGCTAAAGGTAGGAAGGATCTCCTTCAGCAGTCTGTATCACAGGGAATCGTAACCAAATCTGGGTTGTTCATGATGTTCTTCACTTTTGGAATCAACCCTCTTTGTCTTATCAGGTCATCTTCAGAACAGAACCAGAACCTTCTTTACCAGATTGTGGAGCCTTTCAAAGTCCCTGGTTCTGATGCTGCTGCCCCAACAGATTAGAACAGTGCTTCTCAAATAGTGGGGCGGGCCCCCTTTGGGGCGCGGTGCGATACTTGGGGGGGCGCGTGTGATCCTGGGGAACAGGCTTTTTTTTTTTGGCCGTACTAGTAGAAAGTAATTGCGCACAGTAGGCGGCAGTGGCGCTCTCATTGTTACTTCTGTCACGTTTGCGACAGTGCAACATTTTACGACTTACAAGACAACAGGTTTGCCTTGGTTAGCAGTGTTAAGTCAACAAAAAGCTCCGACTGCGTTCTGTCTATGGCCTCCGTTATTCAACAACCCCCAACATGAAAAAGTTTTTAACAGGGATGAAAAGAAAAGCGGAGAGAGACAAAGATAATGAGACAACAGAAAGTCAACCGAAAGCTAAGAAGAGGAAATACGACAAATCTTATTTAGCGCTTGGCTTCACTGTGACTACAGTTGGAGAAGAGGAAAGACCGGTGTGTTTACTGTGTCTAAAAATGCTCGCAGCGGACAGCATGAAGCCAAATAAATTAGTGCGTCACTTAAATACGTTACATCCCAATCACGCCGATAAGCCGCTAGAGTTTTTTCAGCGAAAACGTGCTGAATATTGCCAACAGTCATCCCGCTTTGTGAAGGCTACTTCAGTAAACCATCGAGCGCTGCTAGCATCATATAAGGTGGCGTACCAAATTGCGCAGTGCAAAAAGCCCCACACCATAGCAGAGGAGCTGATACTGCCTGCAGCAGTAGACATGGATTTATTTATTTTTAATTTCAGGCATTGATGCACTTAAAATCTTTTCTGTTGCAGACTTAAAACACAATTTAATAAAGTTATTCTTTGTAAGTTTGACCATATGTCTTTCTTTTTTTCTTTAATGTTAATAAGGAAAAATGTTATGCAGAGATGGATAGTCACGGTGGGGAGTGGGGGGCGCGAATAGTTTTCTTCTTGCTAGGGGGGGGCGTAACGGAAAATAATTGAGAAGCACTGGATTAGAAGATTCTCTACAGACTTATAGAAGATCTGAAGTACCCTGCCGAAAACACTAAATACTCAAAGCTTCCTCACAACCAGTTTGCTCTGTTGAAATCTAATAAAATAGTAAAAAAAAAAAAAAAAAAAAAAAAAAAACAAGATTGTGCTTCTTACTTGTAGATGAACTGGAACTGAGAGCCTGTAGAATGGAGTCAGCCTGTAAAGTTGCCATCATTTTCAGCATCAGTTCAGCTTGCTGCTCCAGGCCAACTTCAAGTCGGGCATCCAGCGCTGTGAAACGAGAGGCCGAGCATTTAGCCTAATTGTGGATGGAAGCTATTATGACAAGTAAAATCGATGCTGAACAAAAGGAGAGGTTCACCTTGAGACACAGAGACCGACACACACTGAGAGGCTGGCTTTTCAGGGGCAACCAAAGGTTTGGATACCGGAATCCCAACCCCTCCGATGTAAGGGTTGTACCCATATGTTCCATAGTCAGCACCCCAGTAGTCATACCAGGTGCTGCTTATAGGCTGAGAGTAGATAAAACAAATAAAAAAAACACACAAGGACATTACTCGCAAATACAACGTAACAACAACTGATTCAAGTCATCACTGGACAGCTGGAGCTGAACAGCACTTCAACCAGAAGAATGTAATTTTACTGAAATGTCATATTCTGCAATGCAAATAAGAAAGGAAGGACAACACTAAGAAAGGACAACAAATAATGGAATTGGGAATAATATCTTGAAGAACAAATATTTTCCCAATCTTTTATTTGTTTATGCTTTCGTACCCAGACTTCTAAAAATATTACAATTAAATCTGATACTTTTCTAAATGACAGTCTTGGATATGTCATTTCAAGGTTAACTGATGGGCAAATAAGGAACCTCTGGCATTTTAAGCTTTTACACTGATAACAGGTGAAAGAATGTGAAAGAACAAAAGTCATAGAATCAACATACCTTAAATACTTTGGCAGCGAGAGGATCTTTTTCCAAATCAATATCTAAAGGATCAATATCAACATCCATGAGGTCTTGCAGCAAGTCAAAGTCTATGTCTTTATCTTTTTCCAAAGATGACAGAGGTGGAGCACCTGTGGATAATAAAAAGATCTTTAGTATTACTAGGTTAATGCGAGAAAACATTGAAGCAAGAGACACTTTGAGCCGCTTTCAACAGCAACACAGCAAATACTGCAGGACAAAGACTCTGTCCAGCAAACCTAACTGAATACTGTTAGGTTTGTCATAGTAACAAGCTCAATCTAAAGTAAGTGATAAGCTCACATTTATGGTATTTACAGTATAGTATAGTAAAGTGGAAAATGTATTCCAAAACTTTTCAAAGTGCAATAACAAAATATCAGGGTTTTAGAGTAATACTGCTGTGGGATGTGTGGTGAATGGATAGAGGGACCAAACATACTCTGGAACACGGTGGAGGTCCCTGTGGTCCCTGCGATGATGTCTGGCACCAGCGCTTCATCGATGGTCTCCACCAGGGGAATGGTGGAAGGCTGGGCCAAAGAGTCGTCTGAGTCTGCCATGGCTGAGGAAGATGACGCTCCTGCCTCCTCACCCACAACCACCTCTTCCATGGGATCCAGAGAGCCCGGAGACATCAGTTCACCTTGGGTCAGAACGACAAGGTCAGAAGCTGAACCCACTTCATACCCTGAGCTGAGAAAACCCTCATCATCTCTGCTCCAAACCGTCGGCAAATCATGGTTAACTTAGAAAGATGACAGAGAACTGCTTTACCACTCGACCGCCTCTAACCGGTACAAGCTTTCCCCTCAATTGAAGTCTGTTCCTTGTTGTTGAGGGTGGGTCGTGAGCGCGCAGCAGCTGTTTTCAATTCTCTACTGATGTCTGCAGCAACACTCAGCAAAGGAGAACCTCAAGGTTGTAGTTCTGGGCTCAGATAAACCCAGATATTTCATTTTGTCCTTTAGATTTTCATTACTAGCCTAAACATAATGGTAAAGACTCAGATCAGTCGATTATTCTTGCTGTACGTTAATATGATTACATTCCGGCACTTTATTTTTTTTAAATGCACAAAATTTTGGATTTGCAGTCAAAAGATGTAAACCACTAGCCATGCCTGAACCTTTTTTCTTTAAGCTGAAGGAAAAGGAAAATTTACAACACCAGCTAATATTATGTAGTTCTGATGTCTCACATTGTCCACAGAAAAGCGCAGCCTGTCAGAAAGCTGACCAGCTGCTCCATTTCTCTGTTTTTTATGACAGCCTTTCTTAAGATGAACTAGCTGCTAGCAGAGCTGCTAAATCAACATCATTCTGCTTCAAAACTTAGCACATGTAGTCCTGGCGCTGACTGTTATTAAAATCATAACTGTTCCTCCATACTGAGAAGCTCTCTGATAGCAGCTGACATATCTGTGCTCCACAGCTAAACTTTAAAGTTGTTTTAGAGTTTTCAGAAACGTAAATGACGAGTCAACCAATGAATGCGATCAGTTGTCAATCAAAAGGTTTCAGTGCCGTACCTTGATTGATCCTGCTAGTACTACCCCTAGAGCAGGTACTGAAATCTGAGAACAGCCGGGCTGAGCTGCCCCGGATTTGCTAATGGAAAACGAATTTGGCCAAGGCTGTATCACTTAGAGGTGGGCTAGTGGCTTTAGCTTCCAAACACAACAAGCAACAAGAAAGGCAGGTGTTTGCACATTTAAGCTTTAACTCATTATGTCGACCTCTTGACAGCTAAGACCAATGGAAATCATTGTCGGCGAACAGTTCTTTCCCCTCCAGCAGGAAAATGGGAGGTGAGATCCTGCGCTGCAACGTGTCTATATCAGTGTGTTCAATCAGAGTTGTTTCACTTGTTAAAAATCATTTGGTGCCAAGACAAATGTTCTGAATTTAGATCAGAAGAATGGGTGGGGTCTTTCCCATAATGAGACATCTCAGTCAATCCGTGATTAGCTTACGAAATCTTACGTTTTTATTTTCGTTTCCACCGTTCCAGCAACTCATGCAACAACTGAGTCAATTGGATAAAAAGTAGGGGTCATAACCAGATGAAACAGACCTGCCAGGATGTCCTGGAGCATGCATGTGAGGGAGTACTGTGCCCAGGCCCCTCCCCAGGAGATGTCTCCTCGATTGAAGTCTGTTCCTACAAGCAGTAGCAGAAGGCGTTCCAGCTGCTGTTCAGACACCACCTCACACAGATGGATTGTAGGTCTTGTGGCATTAGCTATCCTAGCAAGTACCTGCAGAGACAGCAACACTAGTCACATGTCTATACAGAGAACATTTCGAAGATCTGGGCCTTTATTTCAGACGAATACCTTGCAGACAAAAAGCAACAGATCCGCATGGCAAGTAAAGTCCATAGAGAGCAAAAACAGGGCGAGTTTCTGCACTACAGAGATGCAGCGTTCATGGGACAGAGTGAAGGGCAAAGGTTCTACTTCTGGGGCTTCTTTGGCTGTTGTGGACTCTGCATCCAGTGTGGAGCGAGGCCATTCAGCTGTCCGTCTCAGACGGATCAGGTCTTTAAAGTGCTGAGAGAGGGAAACGAAGCCAAAGGCAATTAAACATACAGTTAAAGAATCTGTCACTGCAGTAGTCTCTGACTATTGTTCATTAGTGACATCTGATGTTAAAAGTCTGGCAGGTTCTCACCTTAGATGTAGCTTGTTTGAGTTTGGCCTGTTCCACTAGCAGTTTGTATGAGGATCCTTTGTTGCTTTGGATTTTCTCCTTCTCTATTTGCTCAACCAAAGCCTTCTGTTTGGCTTTCAATAGATTTAACTGCTGCAATAAAGCAGGCACAATTAAAACAAACACTGCAGATACATTCCTGTAAGGATCCTGAGTATTCTGGCTTTGGACTTAAACATGTTTACCTGCTTGTGATGAACGAGCTGCTTGCGAAGCTTCCGTGAGTACAGCCGATCCAGGCTGCTGCTGCCTTTAGCTGTCCTGTTGGAGTTCTGAGACTGGAGCGTGTTGTTGATAAAACTCCACTGAATCCCTGAGGAACAGAAGAACAAAACATTACAAAAGGAAAGAAAAGAACTGTGTGAGCAAGCTATCCTTACAGGAGCAAGTCCTACCCTAACAAACAAAACATGATTTCCTCTGAAGGATGGACATGGGTAATAACTGGGCCTGTCACAACAAAAAATTTTGCTGGATGATAAATTGTCCCAAACGTTATTGCGATAAACAATGATGTTGCTGTTCTGAGATCATTTTCAAGTAGAGTACTGGTAAAAATGGCATGATAATGCAAGAGCTGAAAGCTGAAAAAATGAAAAATGAAAAAGGCATCATGTCTTTTACCTGTTACAGGCCGGTCCCTTTCCTTCCCTCCAAGGTTCTTCTTCGCCCCTGAGGCTTCATCTTCAATGCTGGCTACATAGTCCAAGAGTCTTGAAACCAACATCACCACCCAGCTGATCATGGGAATATCCAATATCCCTGGAGGAAACGGACTCATTTTTGTAACTAATTCTGCATGTTTTGATGACTGTGTCAATATGTGCTGCACTGGGTTTACCTTCAGTCCTGCGCTGGGAAGCAGCCTGTGGTTGCTGCAGAGGGGATAGCAAACTGTCTAACAGGTTCAGGAGACCTTCCAACACCCCACTGTTACTCAGGGATCTTTGGCCAATGCAGGACAGGAGCATGAATACTCTGCAAAAACGAGAGAGGCTTCAGTCCCAGCAAACAGCAGCAGAATAGAACAGAAACATGTCCGTAATTGTCCCTTAGTGGGGAAATTCAGGTGTACCAGCCACAAAGTGACAACTCCAAGAATGTAAGTTCACACACAGTGTATCTCCACTTATAAGGAGAGATTGTTTAATGGTTACAACAGTATATAAAAACATTAGTAATTTTTGTGTGATTTTGTGTGTTCTACTATTATCTGGAAAACTATAAATAGGATTTTAGAAATATGCACTCTAAATTTGCAGGTTTATAATATATAATGAATGTGTCCACAGCAACATAAATTGGAAACCACGAACAGAAAAACTAGTTTGGAAACAAAATACACAAATTTATTTGCTGCTGCAGACCTACAGAGGATGCTGATCAGTAACGCCCAGGGTTCACTCCAACTACTCAAACTAAAACTTCATGTCTTTGTGGAAGTTAAGTGTAAAAGACTCAGAACTCATTAGAGCTCAAATTGTGGCAACTTGTAGGACAAAGGCAGAGAAGTGGCTCCCGTGTCGTCCTACCTGTCCTGGGGAAAGATAAGCAGCTGCTCAGAGTTGTAGAGCTCCTGCAGGACGTTGGAGAGGAACTGGCCCCACCAGCGCTCACCCCCACACAGCTGCACCAACAGCAGTCCAGCATGAAGACGGATTTTCGGCGTTCCGCTGATGCAGAGATGTTTAAAAAGCTCTTCACAGGCCTGGGCGTGGAAGGTGTTCTGGAGCACCGAAGGGACAGAGTGTCCTGACAGCACAGACACACAAATCAATGAATCAAGTGTGCAAACCATGTAAAACATCCATAATACCATGTATTATTTCCGTAATATTTCTGTTCAGGGTTGGACGGTATCACGTGTCCGGTGTAAATCACAGTCAGTGCTCCACGCCTCACCGTTATTGGAGTGCAGAAGGCTGAGGAGCGTGTCCAGCAGGTAACGGATGATTGTCCTGAGCTGCTCAGTGGAGGAGCTGTGGACCAGCCCCTGGGCCTCCGGGTCACAGGCCCGGGGCAGAGACTTGCGGCTGGCACCCAGAGACACCCGCAGCCTTTGGACGGCATGGTGGGCCAGGTTGAGCTGCAGCTGCAGCTGGATGCAGTCCTGATAGGCTGAGAAGACCCGCTGGTCCTCTTCTACCACCTTGTCTGGTTTCCGTAGGAAATACTGGGCATTATTGGCGCTGTTAAGAGGTGGAAGGTCGATGTTCTGAAGAAGAGTCTCCAATCGATGGCAAGCTAGATTGTACCTGGAGAACAAAGCAGAGGACATTAACCCTGAAGAACAGCACTAATTACCTCCACCATTTCTGATGCTATTTAATGTTTGACATCTTTGGTGACAACTGAATCTGACCAACACCACACATTTCCATCTGGTTCTCTTAACAGCTGATAATCTGTCCTGACCCTCTCCATGAATCACCTGCACTGGATGTCCTCCTGCAGAGCCACCATCATGGTCAGATGTTGATCCACATCTGGCTGACTGGCAGCCTCACTATCTCCCCGCAGAGGGTCATGCATCAGTTTCAGCTCACTCTCCCATGGCAGGATGTACGTATGGCCGTAGAAGAAGCCTAACGGGATCTTTGCTCGCGCGCTGGTGCTGCCGTAGCGTCCGATCACAGTGATCTGAAGGAACAGCTTGGATGCATTAAATGGCTTTTGGGACCAATGGGGTGCAAGCGCTGGGTGGAATCACATGCCCCACAATTCTCGCCAGAATATAGAGAATCTGACCTTCATAAATCTGCAGACGGGTGGTGGCAGCAGGTCGTGCAGAATGAGCGAATGGGTGCTGATGTCAGTGGCCACCACCAGTCTGCGTCCGTCCAACTCCTCCCCCAGCGTCCAGATGTCGATGGACAGAGACGCCAGGTCTCCGCAGGTAGGAATTAGAGCGTCAGTCAGCAGAACGGGGCGGCCGAAGTCCAGGGTGACGTACCGTCGAGCTCCTGCATAGAAACACACAATAAGACTGGTTATTACATCACAAACTGTGTTTTGTCAAGGACATATCATCCACTAAACTTAGCAATAACAAATAAAGTAATAACTTGTATGTCGTATGCAAGTACAGTAGTGAACATCACATACCAGAGTGCATCCGCTCTATGATTATAGACTGGTGTGGAGGAGGCTGCAGGAAGTGAGATGCCTGAGAAATAGCCAGAGCCAGCCCACTGCCCATGGGACTCTGCAACACAAAACCCTTTGAGTTCAATGCAAACCAGCATCTTTACTTTGTTTTAAACAAGCAGCCTAAGAGAAGAGCAGCAGCTTCCCTTCCATTTACAACTGTGTAAAAAAACATTCCTGATACTCCAATAATGTTGTAAACACACAATTTTGCAATTGCTGCATTTCTGTTAAATAAGTAAAGTAATCAAAAATCACACTTCACATCATAGAAGCCGCTAAAAATTACAGATGTAAACACTAACATGAGATACATCTATATTTTCAGCCATGTCAATAACATTCATCACCAGCAATCAAAGGAGACATCAGCAAGATTCTGAGCTCTTCAAATCAAAACTGAAACTGATGTGACGTTCAGCCCAGATTACTGACCGGCTTGGCTTTCTGCGTGTTCTTGTGCGCAGCCATGTTGACGGGCCCCTGGTCCATCATGGGCCCAGGGAACAGGTGAGCCAGTTCTGCACTGAAGGCTGCAGACACCGCCTCGTTGGGTGGTGTGAGGGGAGGAGTCATGAAGAGGGGCGTGGTTTTCGGTGTTGGTGGGATGACGTCGGAGGGGTGAATGAAGAAGCCCGGGGCGGAGGAATTGGAAGGCACAGAGTTACTCATGGGTCCAACCCCAGAAGCCACAGCGGCAGCAGCAGAGGTGGTCTGATGAAGCTTGGCCTCCAGCTTTGCTTTCTGCTTCAGCAAAAACATCAGATTTAATCATAAAACAAAACGACTGGGAAGTAGTTTGACTCCACTTTCAGCAGGGATTAAAAGGGCAGTGTTACATATATTTCAAGCACATGATGCCATTTTATAGCCCAGTCAAGCAACTATGCTGCCTTCAGTTACAAAAATTACATATATATCTACCTATAGTGACACCAGGTCTTTGATAATTACTAGCTAGTCTGAAGGAGCTGAGTGGAGGAGTCTTTCACAACTGATGTGAGACTAAAGGGTTTCTCAAACATGAATACATCAATGAAAGAATCAAGGCAACTCATGACGTAAAGCTCAAAAATGCTGATTTCACATAAAATTGCCCCTTTAATGACTTCCAACCACGGATGTCGTGCATCGGCATGGGTGTAAATCTGATGAGAATTTCACCTGCTGCTGGAGCTTCAGCAACTGCTGCTGTTTCTCCTGCAGCACCTGCAGCTGCTGCTCAGCTGAGACCATGGCATGTGACAGGGACTGCAGGGCTACCTGAGCTGCAGAACTCAGAGCTGTTGAAGCTTCTCCGACCGTCCCTGTTGACAGGCCGCCCATCGCCGGAGTCACACCAAACGTACTCACTGGATTTAAAAACAACACATTCAGCAGACGAAAGCCGACACCACACCCTGAATCAAAGTTTGGTAAAAAGTGAGGAAGACCTACCAGTGAACATGCTGGCATCATCTCGCTCCACCCGTGTGCCATCACTAGTGGATATGCAGGTAAAGTGCAAGGGCTCCACCTCCAGGAGTCCAGTCAGTGCGGTGAAGCTGCCCTCTGCCGCAGCAGAACTGCTCACTTTCCCATTCCCTGCAAAACAGTCCACACCAAAAGTCATGCAACATCCTCCTGTCTCCTTTAGTTAAATCGGGCTTTTGCTAATTTTATTTGAACACAATAGATGAAAATCAACCGTTTTTATGACTGGAACGTACACTCACCAGCCACTTCATTAGGTACACCTGTTCTACTGTTTATTCACGCAAATGTCGAATCATCAAGTCACATGGCAGCGACTCAATGCATTTCGGCATGTAGACATAGCCAAGATGATTTGCTGCCGTCCAAACTGAGCATCAGAATGTAGAAGGAAGGTGATTTAAGTGACTTTGAACTTGGCATGGTTGTTGCTACCAGACAGGCCGGTCTGAGTATTTCAGAAAAGCTGAGTTACGCTATCGATCAATGCTCGCCAGCTGCCATGGCAACCCTTGCTACTTCAAATCTGACTCGCCATCAGGCGAGTGGGGGAACAGAGGTGGAGAAGGACGCAGTGCTGGCACAAAAAAGCAAATGCACCCAGTACAACACTTGTATTCTATTGGCTGAGTGGTTGCCAGGCGACGGTACTTTTCTGTTCCAAGTGTGAGCAGAAAATGTTTCGCAACCCAGCAGACAGACAAGTTTTGAGTGCAGGAAGAAAGGTTTGAGAAAGCACAGTGAATATTTTAAAGAGAGCAGAAGTTTTGAGTACAAGCATTACAGGTTCTGAGAAGTGAGACATGAAGTCCTGCTTTCACAATGAAAAAATAAGCACTAGTTTCAGAAGTTTGAACAAAAGACAGGAAATCCTGCTTTCAGACTGAAATTGTGTGCTCTCAGATAATGGCAGAAAAATCTCCCTATAAGACAACAAATCTGCGGTAACTGCATAATGCTATCATGTCAATATGGACCAATCTCTGAGGAGTATTTCCAGTACCTTGTTGGATCTCTACCATGAAGGATTAAGGCAGTTCTGGAGCCAAAAGGGGGTCCAAACCGGTGCAAGCAAGGTGTACCTAATAAAGTGGCCAGTGGGTGTATGATTCCCAGTCACATGTTAAAATGTGGAGGAGAACCATCAGGAAGCTCTAGAGCCATACAGAAGACGACAACTTTAAAAGTACATGTTGAACTAATCATAATCACTAACATACAAGTAACTTTTCAATGAGATATAGTAGTTTGTTTTGACTCAACAATTACTTAACGTTGATGAAAAAGAGTTCAGTAAAAAAACTTCTACCTGAGAGAATTTCAGAGAGGTCGATCTCATCAGACTGGACTCCGATGCTGCTGTTGAAGGCGTTCTTGCAGGAGGAGCCGCTGACCTCCAGGTCAAACAGCACCGGGTCAAATGGAGAGCTGTATAGACCGTACCTGAGGGGACGTAAAACGGTCCACATAAAACCAAGCTAAGCAGTGGAAGCGTTTCTTAACTGTGGAGCGGCTCTGGGGCGAGTCGGACCGTACCTGGTTTGCAGCAGAGCTTCCAGAGGGGTGAGGCGGTCCTGCAGCTGTCGAGAGATGGTGGTGAGCAGGGAGGCACATGCTGTGCTGCAGCCTGCCAGATCTTCCTCCTTCACGTAGTTCAGCAGTACAAAGTACCAAAACACAGAGCCTGTCCAAAAACACGAAGGATGAAATAAAAGTACAACAGGTGGGGGTGGGGCTCTGCCAGCATGCTCAGTTACTCACCACCAGTTGCTGCGGCAGGCAAGTAGGCCATATTATCCAGCAGAGCCTTCAGCAGGCTGGTGCCAAACCCCTGCTGACTTGGCTCTCCTTTCCCATTGCTGGATGAAGAGACAGAAAACAATGGTTGCCATAGAAACCGCAGAGTCCAGTCCCCACAAACGGACTTCTATTACAGGTTTCTTACCTAATACAAAGTGCAAGAAATCGAGCACATTTGTGGGCTATGCTGCGGCCCACTTCAAAGAAACAGACCCTGACGATGTCAGTTAACCGGCTCCTGGTTTTGGCCAGCAGGCCCTCCTTTCCTTCCCTGATGCTGAAAAAGAGAGAAAGCAGGACACTTCAGATTGAAGTCCTACAGGATTAAAGAAAATTGATGAGTAGAAGTGTAATGATACCAGACCTAGGCTTGTTGCAATAAGCAATAAATTAATTCCATGATCAATTAAGATGAGCTCAATAAATTTCATTTCTGCAATTTCTCATTTTTCTCTTTTCTCTCCATTAAAAACTGGATGGTAAAAGTCTTCGGCAATGTGGTTTGGTCTTAACCATCGCTTCTTTTTTTTTAAAGGACAATTTTGTTTACAGAGAGATAATTCATTTTATTTGTTGTTCCTGTAGTTTTGTTTGTTTATTTTGGCTATTTAAAATGTCTTTCAATTCCACTGTTAAATGAAGTTGATTTGCGATGAATATCATCGTTCATCAAAGTTTTCTGGGACAATTTATCGTCCAGCAAACTTTATTATCATGACAGGCCTAATCAGACCACCACAACGTAGCAGTTTGTGTAATCAATTTGTATAATAAACTATACTTGTCACACTGTTTGTTTGACTAGGATGAACTGGAATGTGTTGGTGATTGAGTTAAAGCGAGCGCCTCACTTTGGTCTGTTATAAACTCCACATTAGAAGACTTGTGTTTTAAATCTGGCTGTAGTTTTTGCTGCCAGTCCACTTTAAACACCTGGTGTGGTTTGGAAGCACTATCAGGAAGTAATAAAATATAACTAAAGGAGGAATACTTAGCTTCCTTCAAATTATTTGATTGTCTCGTCTGGTTTCATCGTTACACTCCTACTTGATCGCCATTTGTTTGAGGCTTGCCTGCAAGGTCCGTTGGAGAACACCCCCGCCAGCCAGCAGAGGATGTCGAGAATCAGGCTCTGAGCATGCTCATTGGCTGGGTTGCCGTCTAACTGATGGCACAACACATCCAGTAACTTCTCATGAAAGTCTGGGAACTGCAGCATGGCACAGCGCTGCACCCTGAAAAGCACAGACATCTATTAACCTGGGAGAAAACACCCAGACGCTAATGCTAAGACAAATATACTTCCAGTAGGTGGTTTTATGTTCAACATGACATTGGGCACACCTCTCTTTGGGCACTGATGTCTTCTTGAACTTTCTGATTGTGACTGAAACTTCCTGCAGCAGGTCGCAGCCTCGCAAGTTCTCCACCTTCTTTGACTGCGCTGATCCCTCCGTCTTCCCCGTAGCAGCTCTCTCCTATGTTACATCATCAATAAATCAACCGCTGATGAGGACTTCACCTGAAGACTTCACCTGAAGTCACATGCTGCAGTTTTAAAAACTTAACAGTTCTGACATGGCAGCTTTTGTGAGATCTGCCCACCTCATAACAGAGCTCTGCACCAGTTTCATTAAATAATTTAAATAGAATCATACCTCAAGCAAGTCTATGCTAAAGATTGTAAAACTGTTCTTAAAAATGAGCCACATCTGGAGTTATAGAAGCTGGAAAAGAATCACCCGAGAGTTTAACTACCAGCAGAGAAAGTTTCACCTTGGAGGCCTGGGTCTGCTGCAGCAGGGAGGACAATGAGTGAGCTTTGGAGCTCTGAGGCTTGGCGCTGGGCATCCTCAACACGGGCCTCGGGCTCTCTTCCATGCTACTGTCGCTCACCGCTTTGATGTGAACCAGGAAGGAGCGGTACTTCCCTCCCGCCATGCCTGCAGCGCAAACACGTATTTAACAGGAAGAACGCCTCAGCTGTGACGTCACATTTTGTTAGAAGACATTCCGTGGATGTGGAGACAACTTAACACTTCTAACAAACACACATAGAAACATACTCTACTGCACTCCAGGAGAGAGCAACCAAGCATAGAAGAGAAAACACTTCAAAAAATCCAACCAGTGTTTGCTCTGTGGTTGCTATCTTTAGCATCTATCAGCTGTTTATCTCACTGAACTGGAAAGACAGGTTTCAGTTGAAAGCAGCAGATTGTGTTTACCTCTGACCAGCTTGGGGCTGGTGAGGCTCAGCATGCCAGAGTGACCAGAAAGATCCAGCCCACTGGCCAACCACACCGGCCCACACAAAATATCCTCCTTATGGTCCTCAAGGAATGGACACAGCACTGATCCTGCAAAAGACAAACAGAACCACTGAATCACTTAGAGGCTTTAACAGCTTCAGCAACCTGAACTCCAGCTGAGAGATGAGGAGGAAAACAGTTTGGTCTTTGATTCAGCAGAGTTTAAAGCACAAGATTTACTCACTAGACTCAACTGGATTAAAATACACCTTTATGAGGCTCCACCTGGTTACTTTAAAACCTCATGAACAAGTAGGAAAAGTTCAATGGACTGATGTTTTCCTGAAGTATGACCTGTAGGGAGATAATAAACTTCTTCATCTTGAATTTTACAGTCGCTTCTCACCTGATGTCTCCTCAATGTCCATGAAGTGGATGTCTTCTGCGAAGTCCGGCAGAAGAGGCTGGCTGATCTTCTCCCCATTGGTCTGCAGGACATTTGAGAGAGGAAAAGCGATCTGTCTGTCCACCGCTGCATCTGCAGAACAAAATAAATCATAAATTGATTGGTTTAATCCTACTGTACTGGGTGCTCATCCTCATATGGCACGATAGACTTTAAGGCTGGTCAAGTTCAACTTTTGTCCATATTTATGTTCTCAAAGCTTTTTGAGGATCAACATAGCAATGGTGGTGTGCTAGGTTTTTCTGTGTTGGTTGTTCAAAGAAACAATGTGTTAAGCTTAAAAGTCGATCTAAAGCTTCTGTGCAGAAGGAAGACTTGCCTTTCAAATGGAAGGAAAAGTCTATCAGAGACCTCATAGTGATGGATCCACATTGGTTTTGCAGAATTTCAATAAGTCAGAAAAGTCAAGACAGTAGAAGCACAAGAAAAGTGACAAACGTTGCAGGTCTCTACAGCGCGGCCTGAAGTAGACGGCACCTATCCAGACGAGGAAAAGAACTCCAGCAATGAGACTGTGAAGTGCTTAGCTGACTCCCAGTGAATTGAAATAACAGTCAATTCACTGATGTGGAAACAGTTTACATTCTAAGACAAAATCATGTATTAGCAACACATAATGTGTAGACTTGCACTGCTCAGCAATGTTGATCTGAACAGATTGTTACCATTTTGATGTGGAGTAATCTCTTAACAAATAAGTCACTCCACATAATTAGTGACTATATAAATGAGTGTATGAAATACTTTTATTTCACTTCATTAATAAGTCACTACAACACAAACAGTTCTTGCAACAGTTCATTCAATAACTAAGAGAATTATATAGGGTTACCAATATATTAAACTGTTCAGAAACAGGAAAGAAGTGTAAACTAATAATCTATGCCCTCTTTTTCATCAAATATGATGATTGTCATTATTTTATTACTGAGTGTCCCTATTCTCCCACACAGTAAAGACATTTACAGGGAATGTGCGCTGGCTCACCGCTGACTTTTCCCAGCCCTGGTGCTTTGTTCTTCAGTAAAGTGACTTGGATCTGAGGAATGTTGACAATGTTGGGATTCAAGACAAATTTGAAGTCCACATGGCCCACCATGCATGCTTTAGGCAGCACCAGTTCAAACACATGCTCATCCCAGCTGGAGCTGAAAAACACATCATCATCATTAGAAACAGAAAGTCAATTTCCTTAATTGTTTTAAACTTTGACATTTTTTTCTGTGTAAAACACGTTTCCCAAAAGAGCATTTGGTTCTAACGGATTAATTTGTGGTTCTTTCGATATTTGAAGCCAGTTTCACAATTAGTGCAATCCAATAAAATAAAATACATGAAAAAATTGAAATCGCTTTAGATTTGTGGAAGAACATCTGTTGCAAAGGTTCTCCATTATATTAAACCGTTCAGTTTAAAACCAGCTGTTGGTAGCAGCCCTGATTGACGTGAGAGATTTGTGAAAAAGTTGCTTGAAAAGCCACCTGTAACTCTGGAGCTTCCACGTGCGGGTGTGTTGGGCTGCATCGCCATGGTGCTGCTGATGAAGGTGCTGTGGGTGGCGTCGCTGCTGCTGCTCCTGCTGCACCTCCACCCAGCATGGTGGAACGGTGGCCGAGAAACGCGGCGTCAACGTTTCAAACCGGGTCAACTCCATCAACGACGCCAGACTCTCAGTGGTCAGAGGTTGGTCCACTAGGAGGTCCACTCCTGCACAAAGGCCATTTTATAATAATAATAATAATGCATGACATGGTTTTGTTTAAAAACTGATGCAGTGTTTTATGGTCCCTCTCCTACCTGTGATTCCAGGGCTGGACGGGTTGGAGGAGGGCTTTGCCCCCTCAAGCAGCGGCTCAGCCCCTTTAGAAAGGGGGCCATCTATAAACATGTCTCCATCATCCCCATCATCACAAACTCCTCCAATTTGAAGGAAATGAAGTTCTCCACCTTCAAAGACAAACGATGACCATGTCATAAAAACATCTTAAGGAATGAAAAAAAATCTACCAAGACTTGGTTAAACTTACCAATTAAATCATTTCTGTTGACTTTAGCCAACAAGGAACTAATGAACTAAATGGTTGAAACCAGCAGCACAACAATCCCACTTGTCTATTTATGACACAGTACTGCTGACCTATCCAGTTCTGTTCACAATACCCCTGGACATAAACAGTAACTATGTAGAAAGGTTTAGTTTATGTTTTGGAGCTTGATCTGTAGCATTGTCCAAAATCAGTCACAAAGTAACAACATATAACATCCTGGAACATTTCAGGAACTTGAGTTATGCTAACATGACATACTTAATTATTCAAATTCAAATCACAAAATAGACCTGGCCACCTGTGAAGTGTCTTTCACAGCTGAGCGAGCATTTATGGAATTAACATATTTTTTAATTATTTTTGGATGAACAGTAAATGGCTATATTGTCAATTTAAAAAAAACAACAATTACAACATCCTTAATTAATCTCTGGTAAAACTGGAAAAATTTTATATTTACATATAAAATATTTTAGGATACTGATGCACTATAGGTCTGCTGTGATGACTGGGAGTATTTTCACAAACTCCCTCACAATTTTGTACAGATTGCAGTGGAACAGCAATATGTGGAAAACAGCTAATTTTAAGCTTAAAAAATGCATAGATTGGATTTTTGAAGGCTAAATCTGGGCTACACTGCAATATTGAAGTTCGGTTTTGGGGCGAGAGCAAAAGAGAAACATTTTCTACCCCTTTGCTCTAAACTGAGAAACCAAACAATCAAATTATGAGGTCTTTAAAAACAATGACCTATAAAAACCTAGACTGGCCACTGCATACACAATTATCATTTCCCTTCAGTGCTCCATCTGGGATTTTTCCCACTGAATTTGATTCCTATGGCAGAATTTTAACTAGACTGATAAGTGAAGAAAAGGAGGAGTTCTGAACAATTACGTACATATTTTAGAATTGTAGTCTGTGTTGAGTGTTAGTAATGGCAGCGGACGAGGTGACAGAAGTCATTCGGTCTGTGTTGGTCACGCTTCCAAATATTGAACAATTAATGTTGGACCAACAGGAATGTTTAAGGCATTATACTGCCGGCAAACAATATAGTTTGACTCAGTACTTCTCTCTTCGCAGTGGGAGATAGTTGGTTACAGCCCACACTATTTCACAGAGCTGGCATGCTACATATATAAATATCACAACCAGACATTAGCAAATGGGTAAAATCTGACATGGACATGAAGCAAAGCATAGAACAAGGGACTGGTTTCCCAATATGATAGAGGAAACTGGGTTTCAATGCAAAAAAAGAATTATGGTGTTATAATATTTCTCTGTTTGAAAAGTGGTTATTTTTGTGGTTAGGAATGAATGATTTTGGTGTGTTGAAGCCCAACCAAAGAATTCCGGATAATATACAAGCAACACAAAGTTATACATAGTCTTCTACCACTGATTTGAAAAAACATTTTTAAGTTGTGTGCATATGATTTAAAAAGAAAAAAAAATTAAGTTGTGTGCATATGACCTTGCTTTAGCTCAGGCACAGCTGTACTTAGGACATGTGTAAATGATTGACCTACTATGAGAGTGTCAAAATCTTTCTTTTTTTAACCCTCGATTGAGAAAGCGTAATGCCAGTCCAGAGCATTTTCAAGAGGTTACACAACCTTGTAGAAAGACAGCAGTTTAAATTACTCTCCAAATTTTCACTCCATATTAAAAGTAAAAACTATGCTGTCTGACAGCAATATCCAAGAACAGAAAAAAATCCTTACCTTTAGTGCAGGCACAAAGGCGGTCCGTTCCAGAACAGTATGTCACTGAGACAAATGGGTCAGTTTCCTCAGCTGACCCATCCTTTTTGGGTGGTTCCACCTTAGCCAGAACTTCCAAAGTGGACAGGTCCAATATCATAATAAAGCCAGCCTGAGTGGTGACCACCAAGTGTCCTAGACCTGCCATTTCTGCCTTCTTGCATTCTTTGTGGCTATAGGCAGAGGTGGAAGATCTGGTGATGTTTCCAGCAATGCTGTTTGTGTCTGCTTCACATGCAGTCTCAATTTCTGCAACAGGCCCAGAAAAACCGTTTGTTGAAGCTGAAAGAAGAGTTTCTTCATGGGCCTCTTCACTCTCATCTTCTCTGCTATCCAGAACATCAGGGGGGAGCAAAATTAGAGAAGTAATGGCATCACAAGGGTCCCAAATCTGTTGTACTTTGATTGGCTCCTCTTCCAGAGTGACAATCCGGGTGGAGTAGTTGAGCTTGTAAAGTGCAAGATATCCCCCTCCACTCCCACGACTCTGGGACCTCTCCTGCTGCTGCTGGTGGTTTCCTGGAGGTACTATGAAGGGGGTCTGAGGTGGAGACCCCTCTGGGTGATGGCCTTCCATTCCATTGGCCAACGGGCGAAGGGAGTCTGTTTCGCGCTGGCTGCAAAGAGCTGAGTGTAGGCGGTTTAGATTGTTAAGAGCCTCAACTTGGTTTGAAGCACTTACAGACTCAAAACCACAAGGTTTCAGACCAACCAAAATGTGCACCCCGTCCCAGCACGGCATTATGGAGTCCACAAAGACATTTTCTTCTTCCAGCTGCTTTGGAAGCCTTAAGCACTGTACCAGGGTTCCGGGTCGAGGGGGGTTGGAGACAGTTGCTGCTGCCAGTGTGTTCCATTTGTCCACATGCCCATCTATCCCTGCTAGATTAGTTGCATCAGCAAACTGCTGGATGTATGTGATGGGAGGGTCTTGAAGAAGTAGTTGCTCATGTGTATCAAACTCCATTTCAATGATTTGTGGCACAGTAAAGCCTTCCTCGTGTAGACCCTTGCTCATTAAATTGTTCATCTGAGCAAATACCTGCCCTGAGGATTTGTCATCCACCTCTCTAATACTATATAGCAGAAGCACAGGTACAGTCCTGCGCACAGCTGGCATAGAGGAGGGACTCAGCAGCTGAGAGCCTGCCAAGTTAGAGAAGCCTTGCTCTTGGGTACCAGACTGAGGGTGGCAAGGATCTATCTCCATTGGACCATGTTCCTGTAGAGATGCAGCATGCGTCTCAGCAGCCTGAGTCCTTAGTGGACCATCGGTGGTCCTGCATGTCGAAGTTGACGGAGATGGTGGAATAGCCATGGGGTTTATGGAGGCTGAGCGGTAGCTTAAAAGGCCTCCAGCTAGCAAGCAGGGAAAGGGAATGTTGTGGTGGTCAGGCATCTTGTCTTTTGGTTTGGCCTGGCTGTTGGCCTTTGTTTGGTTTAATGAGGGGTTTGCACCAAGCTCCTCCAAATCCTTGACGGTATCCTCCAAAACACTGGCAACTACTTCCCACTGAAGCTTCTCTGGTTGCTGTAGCACACTGAGCGCTGTCACACTGAGATTCAGGTCCATGCTCTCCCACTGGGATGGCTGACCTGCAACATTATCAATACAGTGGGGAGGTTGTTTAAATAATATTGTGAGACCTTTGACTTTTGATAATTTAAAATGTTTTTGCTCAGACTCTGGAAAACCGTAGATGTATTTCATTAAAGGTAAGAGGTACGTTAACAACAGTTACTTACCCGTTATGGATTCTGATCGTGAAGGCTCCTCGCTGTCAGAGTCCTCCAGCTGGTCGTCACTGAAAAAGTGATAAAACCATCAGAACAAAAGAGACAACAAATTCATACCAGTTGGTGATGTTACTCTGTGGTGTTTTTTTATGTAGTCATTTTAACATTTAGTTCTTCTTGTGGTTTGGTATACTATTTTATACTCTTTTATTAGAACTGCTGTTCACTAATTTAAAAAAAGTGCTATTGGCATAGAAGAGAACAATGCTAGTGACTAAATGTCCATATTAAATTAACAGTGCTGGCCAGAACTAGTGCAACATGACAACATTTATCCAGATGTTACTAAAGGTTCAGTATTTTGAATTGCAATATGGGAACAATAAAGTATTTTTGAATTTGAATGTACTATTATGACCGATTATAATGAGACTAGGCTCAACACCAATGGGTTGTAACTAAATAATTTGCAGATCTTCAGGCTACAGCTTTTTAAACATTTGTAATGACCTCCTCAACTTGACATCTCACCATTTAAATTTTCAATTTATAAACAGGTAAATGATCGGGCGACATTTGTTTGCTCTCGGGGGTGGCTGTGTTATCCATACTCTGGAAGTTCTCAGTTGATGCCTCTAAATCAGGAGTGTTAAACTCATGTTAATTTTGAGCCACATAAAGATCACAAATGTCCCCAAAGTGCCAATTGTGGCACTATGTATTGATAAAAATACCTATTACTAAATTGTCAAAACATTTCATGAACAGCTACTGCATGTTTTTATCAATACATTTCATAAATTAATCAAATATTTTAAATATTTGATTCATTTAAATTAAATATTTTTTCACATTGTTTAGTTTGGCAGCATAAAAGGAAATATGTCTGATTGATTTTTAAAATTTAAGCACACAACTTTTATCTAGAAAGTTCAATATATGTGGCTTTGTGGAGTCACTGATTTTAGAAAAACTGTATTTTCTCACCATGCACTTTAAACATAAGATGAACTAAAAAGTCTTTGGAAACTCATTATTAATTTCATGAGTTGAAAATGCAAAGAATGAATGTTGTTTTTTCTTGGAGGTCACAATGTTTGAAACGCTTTGTCATTGTTTTATTTATTTGTTTTATTTACTGCAGTTATGATTTCTTTGACAGAACTGCCCATGTTATAGATTTATATAATATAAATAGACAACAAGCACGCACATGCAAATATGTTAATCTATAAATAGTCTATAAATGAGTGCAGAGAAAATCTGATTTGAGCTACTCAGGCTTGGGCATTGGCTACATGCATAAATGATTTCCTGTGTCTAACATGAAATAGAGCCAGTATGACATTATAGACTAGCTTATGTTAATGCCTTACCTGTCACCTTCTAGCTTGGGCAGGTCAGAGCAGGAAGAGGACTCCTCCAACCAAGTGAGAGTGGGCCTTCGAGACTCAGTCAGCGCCTGCTGGCCCTGTTCACCACTGCACAAGATCAGCTGCCGGATGATGGCTGGGTCATATGGGTTCACATCAAACTTTAGGTGCACCTGTTGAGCACAAAATTGCTGTTCTCATCAAAAGCCTTACACAGTGAAAATAGGTCACACGTCAGATTCGTGTATTGACAGCTCTTACCTTCATCATTTTAGAAACATCCCAGATGCAGATCTTGCCCCTTCTTGTGGCAGCAGCTAGGAACTGTGGGCAGCTACCAAATCCATAGCAAGCAATCTTGTCTGAACTGTCGGGACTATTGGGGAACTGAGCTGGACTGGTCGCCAGGGTTACCGACAGAGGAACATTCTGAGTGTGCTCTCCTTTCACGAATGGACAGTTGGGTGAATGTCTCTCATGTTCAGACCTGGGGGAAACAAGGAAGCGCCGTTAGCAAGTGATGCATCCACAAATGTAGATATTGATACTGTAGCTGGCGGCTAACTGCTATTAATATTTGTACTCCACTCACCAAGGTTCATCTGTAGGCTCCCAGCAGACGAGACACACACTGCAGGTGAAACACATAGCTCTGTCATCCCCTGTCGAGGCAGGCTGTGGACAGAAAGATGGAATGGCAATAAATATAAAAAACAGAAAGGACATTAAGTGATGTTTGCTAGAATTTAGTACTGCTCATCTCCTACAACATGCAAAGAATGGGGCGGCCATGTATCTTCTAATTGAACAAGCAAGATCCAAAATAAAACTCTGTCCCAAACTTTGCTTCACTAGTAGAAAAGCTACAAACCTGACCAGATACTTCTGCAAAAGTATGGCGACACATGTTTTTATTGTGTTTGCTCTCTGTAACACTGTGTAGATTTAGATTTGAGATTGTATGAATCAGAATTTCAGGGATGACCTGTGTCACTGTAGTTCTGCTTAACTACAGTCATTTTTAATAAATTTTAATATTTATGAAAAATTTATGTATTTCAGTAGCTCACACGTTAAACATAAAGAGTAGTTAGCGGAAAAACACTATACAAGTTCAGTCCATTATAGGTTTTTCAGTTATATTGCCCGAGTGTAGACATACAGACTCAAATCCCAGCTTGATGCTTTGCATTGTCCTTTAGGCAAACAGTCGCTTCACTATATGCTGTTGTTTGGATATGTTAGAATAGTAAAATGTGTCTGCCTGTTACCTGGTGATAAAACCCTGCTTGAGCCATCGGATCAGGCTGAGCCCATCTGTAACCAGCGTGTGGCCATGATGTAAACGTCTCCCGTCTGTTGGCCTCACTGTACATCAGGGATCTGTGGAAAGTAACGCTTTTTAGAAGCAAACTGTGTTTTGATGTTTTGAAAGCTGATCTGGAAATGGCCAACGCATCGGTTTAATTTGCAGAATGTGAAAAAAATTTAAAATCTCCCAACGCTAACTAGAAACAACCAATCAGAGCCCAGACTTAACACTGTCAGTCACAATTTCATGTGGTGCTGCAGTATTTCACCGTCAACAGATCCTGTTGTAAATGCTCAGGCTAGTCAGCATAGCCACCAATGATGGTTGATTGACAGGGCTAAGACCCTCCTCCTGGCTGTGATTTATGGATTTTGGTTGGAAGCGGTGCATTTCTTCAGACAGCAACAATAGCTGAGGATGGAGGTTGAGGAGATGGATGGCTTCACAGATTATCTGTCTGGTAACATACTGTCACAATTTTACCAAATACGTAAAAAAAATCCCATTCTTTATAAAAGTTACATTATGCACCTTTATCTAAGCTGATCTGAAATGTTTGGCCATTAAGATTAAAACAAACAAAAAAATAAATAAAAAGATGACAAAAACTGACATTTTTAAACTATGCTCATGTCCTGAATAGAATGCCATGAAATGTTGAGTGTTTATCACCCAAAACGAGCCAATTCCCAGACTCATAAGGTAAGAACGTTGTTGGTCTAACCTATCTACAGAGCGTCCAGGGCCCACCCCGAGCTCAGGCCTGGCGCTTGACAAGAGGTAGGAGAGCCTGTCCATGATGGAGGAGGCTACAGACAAGGCAGCTACGTTCTGGTTTATCTTCTTCAGCTCGCTGACGATGGCTCCAGCCACCAGCTTCAGCACATGATGGGGGAGATGGAAAGTGACCGTTGCCCACTGTAAAAAAACAATATAGAAGATAGAGGAAGGTAAACAAGGTGAACAATAAGAGTGTTCATAAAACGAAGCTACAACCGCATTGGAATCTAAGTTAGCTAGAGGTTTAGCTGGTGTCATAGTCTCATTCTTTTGTCAAAAACACAAAAAGTCTTGAAAGAGGTTTGAGAAAATGCCTTCAAGTTAAATTGTTGAACTCACAGTTCAAATGCACTTTTATATGAAGGATTTCCACAAATCTTTACCCGAGATGCCAATAAATGTGACCAACCCTGTAACATGTTTAGTAGAATTTTCTGCATTCTCTCTTTATGTGACACTCTGTTCTCTTTAGCTTACCTTAGCTACTTTATGATTGGCTGCAGTCTCATGTGAGGTATTCTTCAGACCTTCTTTGAGCTGGCTGATGAAGACTTCATACCCCTCAGTGCTGGACACATCAATCTTCTCCTGACACGCTGACAGCATTTGCTGCGCCTAAACAAACACAAACATATCTTTTAGGAAAAAAGTCTCATGAAGTCCAAGTTCTTGTTGGGATCTGAACTCAGCCACCTCCTCCTTTACCAAGGAGTAAACACATCTAAATAAATTATGTGAAATCACCTAAGAATTTGACTTCAAATTGTACTGGTTATAATTTGAACTACTTGCTATTCCAGTATTGATGCATCATATTAAACTGTCACTGCATGTTACGCCAATAAATATTCAGCTAAATGGCCTTAAAAGAGACAAATATGTTTGGAAAATTCTAATAAAGTACAATATATGACATTTGATTTAAGACAGAGATGACTTATTTTCAGCCTCTTTCAATGAGAGAAAAAAAAAAACCTTCCTATTGAATCGCTGCTCTTTTAAAGAAAATAGTACTAGAATGCAGATATAGCCTGGTTTCCTTCAGAAGGATGTTTCTGCTCTGTAAATACTCTGAACAATTCTAACCTTTCAATTATTCATATTTCTTGATAATCAGGCATTTAATAAATGCTTCAGATATACATTTCTTTCTTCAAAAGGCAGAAATCTAAGATCAACATGTTTAAAACACATGATAAGCGTCAAACTTCCAGGTACAACGACAACACCAAGTACTTCCTGTCTGAACGAGACAGTGCAGCCTCACCTCTGTGACTGGCAGCTCCAGTTGAACCACGTCCTCCGGCTTGGCCACTGGCGGCTGTAGGGCCGTGTCCAAGAGCAGAATGCCATTCAGGTCCTTCCTGCACCCCACGGCGAAGTCGTCCACAAAAAGCACCTTGTCAACTGCAGGAAAGTACTGGCATCTGACGCGGCCGCCTGGTTTAGCTAGGACATAGCGACAGGATAACATTAATCAGCTAGCTCTCAGATCTAACTGGAAGCTCCACTCCAGCACCTCTAATGGAACAGAGATAAACAGAGTCAGATCAAGGGGCTCTTTTGCTTTAAAGATAGAATATGTAATTATGACAAAAATATGTTGTTATCATATTTATTCAAACTGCCACCCCCAGGGCAAAATTTCTCTAGGACTTTTCTGTCAAGGTGCTTAAGAGCAAAATCATGTGACAGGGTAAACTCAGGCTCCCAGCCATTCATTATCATTCTTTTCTCAGAAATTTCAGAGCTCATTGAATGCCGTCTCTCTTTATTTTACTTTAGCATTAATGCTAATTTTTAGCATCAGAATGCTGAGTTCCAACCAAAGGGCACACTTTAGCAGGCCCAATTAAATTTCTTCAGAAATTTTCTAGGCCGTCTTTTATTATACTGTTACAACATAATGATAACTTTAATAAAAAAGCAAAAACATAAAAATTACGTACTGCAGGTTTAGGATTTAACCAACAATTATTATAAAAAAATATTTAAAAAAGCATAATTAAAAAGCATAGAAAAACTGAGCAAGCTCAGTAGTGAAGACTACATTCATTTACCGCCTCTCTAAACCAAATGGAGGCCAGGTGGTTTTAAACTACAATCCACATTTGCTCATGTATTTAACCATATCATTGCACTGACATAGTTAGCTATCAATGCAATTATATGTCTGGTGGCCCGCCAGGCTTATAATACACAGTAAACCCTGAGTTTGCTGAGAGCCATTATATTGTCATGGACAGCTCAGGTTTATTGTTTGATCCTTGCCCCATTTTATTCTGCATTTCTGTGAACAACTGCAATTTAACTACACTTATTCCAGTGTTTCTGCGAAAAAAGGCTAGAATATCCCACTTTCATTTATTAACACTGTTTCAAACAAGCAGTGATGATTGTCAACACTTCACAACCTTGATAAATGGAGCTCTGTGGAAAACCAGAGTTAAAGAAGATTTATTGACACCATCAGAGATATAACAAGCCCAAGTGTTTAAAGAACAGAGTGAGATATAACATCTACGTTTTCAGTGGACAATGAGCTCACCTGTAAGCAGCACTGACTGAAGGTAATTTTAAAAAAAAGTCAGCTTCTGTTAGTCCAACGCTAATTAGACATTTTATTCTAATAAATAAACAGTTGGCCTCTTAAAATTAGAAGATGAATCTAAAATCAGTTTTACTGTTTAATGTTTGACAGACCAAAATCCAAACTAAAGTCCAGATGACATATGATCTGAAAATGTCACCGTTTTAAATCCAAAATAAAAACTTTCAGCCTAAACTGCTAAGTTTATTGTAACATTTTAAAAGTCTTTAATGAGATGCCAGAGTTGTTTTAATAAAGTGCATACAGTAGTGCTTTTCCTCCGCCACCTGTTGCTGCAAACAGCACATAAAGGTTGCAAGTGGAAAGAGTAGAGGCAGTCTGCAGGCTTGCCAACAAGTTATCCATCATCTTTCTCAATGATCCAATCAACATGAACCAAAACAAGTTCTGATCAATGAGCAAATTTACATAAAAAACTCCCGTTGAGGCATGTTTCTCTTTTATCTGAGTCACAATTGCATGCATCTACTAGAAAAAAGAAATATGGTTTGAAATAATCCACGTGTATGGAGTTTGATCACAATGTTTGAGAGAGAATGACGATTTCATCCTTAACTATTAAAATATCAACAGCTGGTGGAAAAGCTTTGTAAAACAACGCGGATATTATTTTGTAAAACTGGAACAGAGAAATTGATTTTAATTTGAGGCGTCAAGAAGACAAAGTTATTGCTAGGAACGATGTTTTTCACTTCGCTAGAGAACTCAGGATGGAACATTGTCAAATAGAGCTATAACGCATGTTTTTTCTTAAAACATCGGAGAAAACTCTAGTTCACGTTTTCCCCCTTCTCAAACTTAATAATTAATATTTGTGAGCACAATATTTAAGGTCAACACAGAGCAGTTTTAGACCTGGTTAGACCAGTTCAGGGGAATGTAATGTTCAGCAAATAATTTCAACACAAATTCCCAATACTTGACTGTATTCAATACTTGACTGTATTCTAACATCTCAAATGGGAGGTAACTCTGCTGCTGAAACCAGGCACTCCCTGGTGCCTGGAGGGCATCAGCTGATAGATACATTCAAAGTTTTTAATATATCACTTATTACACAACTTAACATTTTCATCTAAAGACTTTGCTAATAAACAGTTGGCCTCTTAAAATTAGGATATGAATCTAAAATCACTTTTTAGATTCACGTTACTAAATTAAGCAACAATTTTTGTAAGGAAAATGTCCATAAAAGGTTAACCTTATGCTGTAAGACTTTATTATTATTGCTATCTTGGAGAAGAAACCATAAGAGGAGAAATAATCTTTTCTCACCTTTGCAATCATTCAATGCTGACCTGTCACTGAAACACTGATCCAAGTTTTGATTTGTCTGCCATGTTTCCATCGACATTCACCAGGTGCAGAACTTAACTTCAAAAGAATAACAATGCTTCCGACTTTTACAGCTGGAAACCGTCTGTAGGTTTGTGAACATGTAAACATCAAAACTGTGAGCAATCAACTCGTCAATAACGCTTTTCACCACACTTCAAACAAAAGACTAGACACATCAAACATTTGCTTTCGCGGGAAAGACCAAGCTGATTGCATACATGATTTAAGACAGTGGATTTAAAAGCTACACCAAATCCATAAGGCTGTTCTGGTTAAATAAGGAGTTATAACGTCAACATAACCTGTTAAAATGCTATCGGGCTTTATTTCAGGCAGTAACTACAGAAAACAAAAAGTGACGAACACGGTTTCTGATCGGATCTCAGCAGAAACGTGTTAACTCGAAGTGTTGGTGCTCTCACTGCTGGCATGCAGTCCTCGGTCGGTCACAGGGTTAAACGCTAAGTTACCGCAGGAACAGCTTCCCATTTATTATTTTACAGCGACGTTACAGTCCACCATTGTGTGACTGTAACATCAGAATCACGCTGGTAGTTTCTACTGACTCTCGCCGGTGAGTTGTGAAGTTATGCGGCTGACGAGTAGCCAAAATACATTAGCGGCTAAAAGCATCACCACGTTCCTAAACTAAACCAACTTCAGACAGCCTACTGTTTCCATTTATTCATTATTAAGCGACTGCCAATGTTTACGTCTGGACCCATTTCCCTAACCACAGGCCGCGTGTGACGGGCAGAACTTTAGAGGATTGCCCGGTTAGTTAGCGCTGTGCAAAGTCCTAGAGCTAGCCATTAGCCACAGCCAGAGGTGTCATGTTGAGTCTATAGAGACAAATAGCGAATGCCATTCACCAAAGACAAAAGTTAATGATAACAGGATCGTTCCTGTGTTAGGATGCTGAGGGTGCTTTGTTTTACGGCCCCAGAACAGACTGTAATAACCCTCGCTGTCAGAAAAAACCTTACAGGCCACTTGTATGGCTGCCGGGAGCAGCTAACGCACCAGGGTGCTGGTCCCTACACAGTCTGTTGACAAACTGTATTTGGCTTGTCAAAACTGAAAGTGTTGTTGTCAGAGCTTGACAGAGAACTCCGGTACTTACCGTGCAGTGCTGACGCCTGAAGAATGGCTCCTGAAGTTCCGTCTATGACTTTAATGCTTCCCCGGCTGGTAACGGCTAAGATAGCGTTGAGGGCCGGGTGGTAGGAAAGACTTCGCAGGCCTTCCTCGTCGCAACGCAGGCAACCGTCTCTCACTACAATCCAGTCTGAGGAGGTGGACGAGCCCGGCGAGGCCGCGGCCGCCATCTTTCCTATTTTTTCCTCTTCCTCCTCTTTTGGGTTTGTTAGAACCTGACGATAAACTTAAATTGAATTCATCTAAGGGGCAGATTCCGAATTGCCACTCCCCAGCCTTCTGCGGCTTCTTCTCCGCCCGTCACAGCCGCGGTGGCTATTCACCATCAGCGCAGAGGAACTCCAGGCTAGGCTCTGTCACTTACACCATAGGAACACGGAGCTAGCGTACCGCTTGAATACATCTCGCGAGAACACCGATAGTAAACGAGAACAGCCATCGAGAGAACAGCTGATGAAAAAATAACTTGTATATTTTTGCTTGTAAATTTTCATCACTGCGCAAGTAAATAATCACTACCTCCATGTTTTATTTTATATATACCTATATGTATCTATCTATCTATATAAATATAGATAGATAGATAAGATAGATAGACATTTTTTAATTGCCTTTAATACAAGTCATTCTGTAGTTTCACATTCATGCCACTGTTATGTCACATAACTTGTACTTTCATCAATACACTAATGTGTTCATGGATCATAATATCTTAGCAAAACTGATAGAACATCTTTTTTGCCATGCTTACTTGTTTTTATAACACGTGAAAACTCTCAGCAACATAAAATACACTAAACCCCTGACATAAACCCACTTTTCCCTGGTGCAAAGTGTTCTAAGACACGCTGTTCTTATGTACAGGTGCAGTGGCATTTTCCACTTTGTGGATCATGATAGCTCATAAAATTCATTCAGATTAATTTTCACCTCTACCTTTAGTTCTTGGAAATCTCATTTTTTTTATTATTCCCTCAAACATTACTTCATTTTTCTATCTATGATACTTATACTTTTTTGTGTCCCCAAAAATTGACACATAATCTAACAATGATTATTAGCGCATTATTGTGTGCTAATAATGACTTTAATCTATTTTAAAGTGCATTTCATTACAAACCAGTCTAAGCTGGAGCACATTTGTCTACATTATGAGTAAATTGATGCAGTAGGGAACTGAAAATCTCAAACTTTCCTCCATATCACAAAGTATGTTTTAGAAATGTCATATGCTCCAGTGATTATTTCCACTTTTATTTAATAACTACAGAACTACCATATTTTACAACAATTTCATTCATTTATTTAAAATTTTTCTTTAGTATCTGAAAGGAATGTTAGTTTTTTAGGATAAATAACTTAGCGACCAGCCAACAAATACAAGATGATTAATTCACAAAGTACCCATTTCTTTTCTGTAATTATTTGAAAGGTGATTTTCTATTTTGATAAGAGTTGACAAAGGAAAAACAAGGCACCTCATTAATGGACGTTTGCCATAACAGAACAGTGCATAACAGTGAGGAATCTATAGTGTTGCAATCTCTTACCCATCATTTCCTCCACCGCACAAAAATATTTGTTAAACATTGTGTGGATTGACTAAAAAGGTTTTATTCCACCAAATGATGTCCAGATTCACAAACTACAACCAACTCCAGGCATATGGGGACAGTAGAGCACCTATGATATAGACACCTGCAGAACAAGGTACAAGCTGCAAAATTTGATTCATTTTATTGAACAAAGAAAAGGACAAACTATTTACAGCCATATTCCCAATGTCCTCACTGCCTAAAATTGTACAGAGTTAAAAAAACAAAAAACAAATATGTCTTAAAAAAAAGACCTCCTGGGTTTAGTTGTTTGATGATCCCAACATGACTCAGGGTCACTGTCCATGGCCATAAGGTCTGAAGTTCTGACTCATCCGGTCACACACCAGTATACAGTGACAGGAAATAGATATACAATAGGAAAATTGGATATATGAGAAGGGGCTTCTTAGTTTTAAACTCATCTCCAACGAGGAGTGAAGCAGCACTGTAGGCAGCCCAGAACACGCCAAAGAGCTGGAAAGGAAACACACGACATAATCACTATGAAGTAATCACTACAAGAATGAGAACCCAACAATATCACAGTTTCTACAGTGCTTTTGATCAAACTAATTTATCAACAGTATGTGTAAGGATTCTATTCATAGAAAAAGGTTGGCCTCTTCCTTAAATGACATCAACCATCCCATTTATGGTGCAAATCTCCCAAACCCTATTTATGTAAAACTAAAAATAGATCCAATTAACAGTCTGAGTCAGAGTGTTTAATTAATTAGAACTTACTTTGGCTAATGTAGACACCACTTCAAACCCTCCAATCACTAAAAGCAGAGGGGTTATGACAATGAGAGGAAGAAGTGAATATCCAATCACTCCAAGAACTTGGCCATAAGAAACCTACACAGGAGACAAAAAGAGCCTTCAGAAAAACAACAACCTTATTTTAAAGATCAGTTTGCGGTTGTGTTGTGATGGAGGCGGGACTTACCTCACCACCAAGGACGCGAGCAAGCAGGAAGATGGTAAGTGATCCGAATATCCAGATGGTGATGATCCAAGATACAACCTACATATGTAAGACACAACACAGTCCAAAGTTAAAGCTTGGAGAATGACCTCTGACCTCAGAATGTTTTGTTTTGATCTTGCTTTCAAAAACTGGGGGAAAACTCATGAATCCTGCACGACTAAGTTCTCTCCCATGTGCATTCTTATTGCCCTCTTAACAATCTATCAAGTTTATTTAAATTGGAGATGTCAGCAACAAGGCAGTTAAAGGTGCTTTACATCGTAAAAACATAAAAATACAAAGTTATAAAAGAAGTTATATACTCAACAGCTGAGAAACCAGTGACAAATGTTAAATTTTGATTAGTGTCATCATCAAAATCATACATAACATCTAATATAATGATCAACGTTCCACATATTATGGTTAAAAAGAAACGGTTTTAAGCCTTTATTTAAAGAACAGAACATTACAATATGATAACTGGCTATTTCTTTTGCTTGTCTTGTGCCTGCGTTGGAGTGGTCTAAGGTAGGCCTGTCGCGATAAACAGTAAATCAATTAATCACATGATAAATGAAAATGATCATTTTAATTTATTGGCTTTATCTTTTGTTCCTGCCTTTTTCTCTTTCTAGTGAAGACATTGGATGAAAACAGGATTTACTCCGGTACCAGTTCCAGTGTTAAATGCTCTTTTGAATATAAAGTGCATTTATTTTTAGCAGGATGTGCTTGTCTTTCATATTTATGTCATTACCATTACATCAGTTTAAAATTGTCTTCCAACAATATTATCGTTTATCGCAATAACTTTTGAGACAATCACCAAAATTTGTTATTGTGACAGGTCTAGAGTAGGATTTACCCCACTGATCACAGGAAATTATCATTTTTCGTAAAAAGATGATGCTTCAAGTAATCATCCCAAGCAACCAGCTGTGTTGATCCGTATTCTGCTCACCCTGAACTGCCCGTAGATTGAGATCATGGAGAAAAGGAGCACAACAGCCAGAGGGCCCCAGAAATCTGGGTTGTCTCGAACTACTTGTCGGTTGTAACCCAGAGACGGCATGGGCATCAGCACGCAGCGGACCTTGTAGTAGATGTCCTTCAGGTCAATGTCCAGCTCCTCCCTGCTCACACAGAAGATGAGACAAGGATAATTGAACATTTGCCCTGACACTGGCTAAACTCCAGATTCATGTAAACAACAAACAGGAATACATTATAAATCCAGGTGCTTCGGATTGCACCTGGTAGTCAGATAATCCCATCTTTTCTATCTATGTTTTCTTTCTATCTGTACATTATATACATTTATAATGGATTATAAATGGCGGTCTTTCTCACCATTACCTGGTCTTTCTCACAGTCAGGTGTAAAGTAGGGAAAATAACTCAACAATACATCAATAATCCCTTCCTTCTCGTACCTGATGCACGGTGTGAGATGTAAACAATCTGTTTATAGATTGTTTACATCTGTTTACAGATTGTTTACATCATTATTACAGTTATTTATTGTTAAATAATGAAAGGAAGCAATGCAAGCAGCCCTTTCCTTGAGAATGTGAAAATCAAATAACAATTAAAAGATTTCTAAAAGAGCATTCAACCATGTTCGATAATAAAAGGAATGGCCTACTTATACCAAGGCAGCATAGACACTTCTTGAAGTAATAGATTTGTCTTTTTCCCCTAAACTTAATTGCCACAAATTCTAAGACTCCCTAAAAGACAGACTTACAGAAGAGGTTTGCTCTCCTCATTGTCATCTTCTTCCACTTCTAGCAGCCAGCCGTAGCCTCGCTGCCTCAGGAAGGTGGTGGCGTATGGATCCCTGCCTCCTTCACTGGCCATGTTCACTTTAACATCAGGGGCGCTGATGGTTCCACTGAGGTCTGTGGATCACATAGATGATTTTACTTATGGTACCTTTTAAAAGCTACAATCGCAGCAGCAGGATGTGGAACAAAAACATGGTATTTTCACATGAAAAACAACCAACTTAGCAAAAGCAAAAGCTAAACAATCAGGTGTTCAGACGATAATGTAACATATTATTGTTATAAAGTCCAGTAGTTGGCTTTTACTGTGCATTTTTTTTTCTATTTTAATAATTCTAAAGTATTCAAAAATCTAATTTAGCCTATAATACCGCTTTTTTTAGTTGTATTGTTTTTTTTTAATCCAACATTTCAGATCCATTGCAAAGATGCATGTCAAACTGGAAAAGACAAAGATGCTTTTAATTCATATTTTCAAGCCATTCACGATCAGTTTAGCTTAATACTTACTTTACGGGGCAATACTGCAGGACCATGTGCTACTGTCCTTACATTAAGACGGTTTGTTTTACACCATCTCACTCATTTGTGCCTGACTGAAGGAGGAAAGTGGCATTGTGGAAAAAATCTGATCTAGGGTTTATTCAGAATGGCGCTTTGTGAAATAATAACCCCACGTTATTGTTTCAAATGAAGGAAAAATAAACACGGAAATATGCATCACAAAAAGAAATTGCTGAAATAAATGTAAATCTGCGCACAGAGAATGCATTTGGTTCTCATTTGTCTTTCATACATTTCTTTCTGCTTTCACACATCTGTCTTTAAGATTCAATTTTAAAGAACCGCAGTTTATTCATGACTCCTGAATCCAGATGTAAGACCCTAGCTAACTAAGCCGCAAATTCATCCCGTCACCGTGACGTGACAGGTAAACAAGTGGAAGTTATAGTTGAGTCGACAGAGCCAGAGCTATATGGCTCACAGCTGCCACGAAAACGGAGTCTCAGTATAAACAATATCATGTCAGCTACATGTTTTCCTTCCGTCCTGTATGTGTCAAACAAAGCTAACACACGCTTCCACATATAAAAACACTCTGATACAAGTAGCAGAGGAAACCAGCGCATGACTTTCGTCTACATAAAGCAGAGAGAAGCAAGTAGACTGCTGCTGGACATGTATCACTCTTTGGGGCCTGCTAGCTGTGCGTTGCAGCAATTAGCATACCTTCAGCTTCCGAAGAGGAGACGAACGTGAAATCTCCGTTGGTGGGAGAGAACTGCATGGTTGCTGTCCTATTAAAGCCTCGCCTATGGAGTCCAGGACAAAAACATTTAATTAAGCGGTGGGTAAAATATGCTGGGTCGCGGTAATGAAGCTGTCACTAGCCACAGCTCATCTGGAAAGTTTAACTAACGCATTTTGTTTGCTTTCTGTCTCACTGTGGGGAAAGAAACCGGAAGTGCGAAGGAAGCTGGAAAGCAGACACGTCGTACGATGCGTTCACGTCATCTTCTCGTGCTGGGAAATGGGAAATGCTGCGCGGAAACCCAAGATTTCTAAACTAACAGCAGTATTTTAAAGTGTATTCTCTGAGTTCCAGGTAGCAATTGTAAGGACACTCCTGGGTTTTGTGAGAACGCGAGCAGCGGATCAGCTGTAATTGTTTTATTTTAGGCAAACTTGTGAGGACACTGTTGAAGTAATCAAAGTAACTAAAAATAACACATGGATTAGTTTCTTTGTATCATGCTGGAATATGAGTCTTTTAATCCTTGAAATGTTATTTAGGTAATAGAAGGCTGACTTTGTATCTGTGTTTATGTGGCTCTGGAGATTCAAGACTACAGGGCTGATCAGCTCTGACTATAATAACTGAAGTGCTTAGACCATTCCTCTTTATGTCCAAAGATAACTTCAGTTATGTTTCTGTTCATCTGGAGAAAATTATAACACATCCATGCATTGATTTGTTCTAAATATCCTAATCACCTAGTGATTAGCTGATTAGGATTAGTAGGTGTAGTTACACCTGTGAGTCATCTGTAGTTATGATAGCTAATTTACCTGTTATAACCTGAGCTAGTGGGAGCATATAGATATTTAGCAGGATTAAGCCTTCTGTCCGCTTTGATGAAAAGTTACCTATTGAAACAAAACAAATCCCTGTACTTTATGTAAGATTCAAACCTATTACCAACCAAGTACTGGACCAGAGAGCCCTGCTCAGCTCTCCAATTGTTTCAACAATATGTCTTGGTCAACAGTGTATGTAACTGCACACTGCGGTTCTTCCACAGTCTGTATTTATGTGGATGTTATTGAACACTTTGACAAAGCCAGTCTCAGTACTGTGTTGAGCATAGAAACCAGACTGGAAGGCGTCAAAGTGATTGGATGCTGTAAGGAAGATATTTAACAGTTGAAACACTGTTTTGTTTTTGTTTTTTTAAAGAATTTTGCAAACAAATTGAAGGTTGGCAATAACTTACATGGTGACCAATTCATGCTTCGTGTGACAGTCTCTCTATAGAAAAAAAGGTCAGTCCCAATACCAATATAATTTTACGTTGAGATTTTTATGCAAACTATCATTGTCAAAATAAGATAAATATTGCTTCATTTTCTTGCAAGTTAGAAAAGATGACCCAGTGCTAAAATTGTGCCTATGAAAACTTGTTCACCATGTCAACTAAACTACAACACCAGATTTATTTATTTTTTGCTATTAATAATTTATCTATTTTTTGTTTGTTTTTTAAAACGTTCATCCATTGCGATTTGTTGATTAAACTTGTCGTATTCAAATGTGGCCACTTGTTGGTGCTGTTGCAACCACAGAACCAGATTTCAAATCCAGCATACAGAAGTTCAGCGAATGTAGTGTTAAATGTGTGCATGTGTCAGAGACTCTGGTCACACTGGCCTGGAGGACAAGACTTTCATGACTTCCATAAACAATTTGAAATGTAGATCCACTTAACCACAGGACACTTTTCCACTTTACATCAGTCAATATTTGTATTTTAGTCCAGTTTCTGATTCACCTATTCAGCTTCCAGAAAGCAGGTGAACCTGTGACAAAAATCTATTGGTTACACACTGAATCACAACTAAAGCCTATAGAACATTTATAACTATATGAGAGGAGAGCTATGATTTGCTATACCAATAATCTGTTTGCACGTTTTGATCATTTTGGTCATTTCTTTGTGTGTCAACAGCACAAGTATTTTTATAAATCACTATGAAAAGTGATTTATAGATTATATTTGATTGACTGATCCGCTGAAAATCAAGTACGTAATCTTTGGAGGGCGTCCAGGCTGCGGAAAAACATACTTAGACAACATACACGTCACAGAACCTTGGTGGGGGAGCGGCATAATTGCGCGTGCGCATGACAGTCAAACCTCTTTTTCCACTTCCGTTACCTTTATACTTTCTATTGGATGATTTTCAGTTTGACACGCCCACTTTGTCTACGTAGCCAATTGTGGTAGCTGTTACTGAATCTCGTCTTTTTACCGCTAAAACCAAAACTCGCTCCAGTTTTGCTCTGTTGATCCGATCATATCTGTGTGTTTTAGGAACAGAAAGGTAAGTCTGACGTCTTGGAGTGTTTTATTTAGGAATATTAATGCTTGGTGTCCTACTTAAACAACTGTTATTACCGCTGCGTAATGTGTTGGCCAAACTTTCAACCGAACAACCTATCGAGTTCACTTCCAGCCTGACAAACACTACGAAATAATTGAGTTTATGTGATGAAGTTGCTCCTCAGATGTTTTTCAGACCGTCAGTCACTTTCCTGACATTTGTTTAGTGTTAGTTTGACCTCCAGTTACTTTATCGCGAGTAAATAGCCAACGGTGCTAACCATTTTACCCCGAATCTGCGTCGTTGACTTCTAATTCAAGATCATTTTCTCCGTGATTCGCGTCATGCACGACGCAACAGTGGTGTAGTTGGTAATTATTACAGTCCTCTGGAAGAGTCTGACTGTGAATTCCTGCCCTTCCCCCCCACAGGTTTGTGATCAGTGTGGTGAAACTGAGGATGGGAATCTCTGGACTGTTGCAGTTCCTCAAAGATTCAGCAGAGCCCGTCAATGTTAGAAAATATAAAGGCCAGACGGTGGCTGTGGACACGTACTGCTGGCTTCATAAAGGAGCCTTTTCCTGTGCTGAGAAGCTGGCTAAAGGGGAAGCGACTGATCAGTAAGCTCCTCTATCATTCTCAGGGAAACAACGACACATATTCAAACTACATGAAACGGTCCCTTGTACTATGTCTTCCCTCTTATTGTTGGTCTTTCTAGGTATGTGTGGTACTGCATGAAGTTTGTGGATATGCTGTTGAATTTCTCAGTTAAACCCATCCTGGTGTTTGATGGCCGTAATCTGCCTTCTAAACAGGAAGTGGAAAAGACTCGCAGAGAGTGAGTATTCACCCAAACTGAGCAAAAGTGTGGTGTACATTAAAATATATTCTGACTAGGGCTGCAATTGCAATATTGTTTAATTTCCCAATATCTGAATTATGATTAACATAGACTGTCCCCGTTTCCTGTCATTCCGCAATGTCCCCAGTGTTCTCCTTTCAGCCTCTAAAATCTATACTATGTCTGCAGCAAGAGCAGTTAAATTCAACCCAAAGCTGTTTTTCATAGCATTGTGTTCACTGACAATTCTGTTTACTCGCGTGTCTTCCAGACGCCGGGAAGCCAACCTCCAAAAAGGACGACAGCTGCTGCGTGAAGGTAAAGTGTCAGAGGCCAGAGACTGCTTCGGACGTTGTGTTAACATCACCTCCGCCATGGCTCACAACCTTATTAAGGTGCGGCTTCTGTCTTGATGTGGCAAATAAAATTTGTATTGCTTGCACTGACTAAGTGAAAGTTCAACCTGGAAATACAGGAAATACATAGAAATGTAGAATATTCTTTCACAAGTCATCCCTGAACACATCAAATTGTTTCATAAAATGTTCTGTTATTTTGAGCGCCTGACTCTTAGGTATTGCAGACTCTCAGCCTTTGTACAGGAACGTTGATGTTCTCTAACATGAGATGTTTTCCTGGTCCAGGCTGCGAGGCAGAGGGGGGTGGACTGCATTGTGGCCCCTTATGAAGCCGATGCTCAGTTAGCCTATTTGACTAAAACTGGGTTCGCTCAAGCTGTCATCACCGAAGACTCTGACCTGTTGGCATTTGGATGCAAAACCGTAAGTAGAACTGAAACATTGAGTACCAAGCAAATCACATTTACCAGCAGTCTGTCCCAGTTCACCAGTCCACCAATATTCTGGTCCACAGTTCTTATCATAAAAGAACAACAGAATGTCTCTGGAGGATGGCTGGACTCTGCTCAGATTTCTTATCCTAATGAGATTTTCATCTATTGTTGTCACAATAAGTTCCAATTAATGATGTTTAAAACTCAGAAAAACTCCATATTTTGGGGATTGTTGTTTTAACTATTTTCTTCAAATATGATTGACTGCAGTTGCTGTTCATTTTAGTGACACAAATCCAATGTTTCATGACTGGTGTCCGTATTACAAATGGAAATGTTTTTAAGAGCAGTATTTGTGTTTGCGGTTCTATAATTGTGACGCGCAGTCACAGTCATACACTTATGTGAAAAAAAGTAATAAATGGTTTATTGTCATTTTAATTGTTATCATATTATTACAGCAAAATATTGTGATAAAACATTAAGTGCATATTGTCCAACCCTATTACCTATTGTATGTCTTCCCCTGTTGTTGTTTTGTTGACAGTTAATATAATTCCACTTTTTTGATAAGGATTTGGCAAACCTTCATTCACGTTGAGGTGAAAACAAACTGCCAGTGAATGAAAAATGTGTAAGAAAGAGAACTTCACCCCTCTAAACCAACTGAACAGTTTTTGCAGTTTCTTCTAGTTACGTCCAGCAATGTCACAATTAGTAAAAATGATATTATCTGAGAGCAGCTGATGTGACTGGAGAATAAACAGACCTGCAGTCTGAGGTTCATCAGTATATCTGCTGCAGTAGCAGCATGAGGTATCTGAACACACAAAGCACCTAAAGTGTTTTTCTGTTGCATTTGATTCATTGAAGTTATTGTTTGCTACTTTTAGTGATAATCTAGTGTGGTGAGAAAAATGATCCCATTTGATAAACAGTAAAGTTATCTTTTCACAGCAGTGTGTGTGGTTGACTTAAATTGTCAGTAATAATTTTGCCCTAATTAAATAAAGTCCCCACCACCAACACCCAATTGTGTGACGGGCTGAATGTGCTTCATCCTTTGATAGCCTAAGGTCCTGCACAAGAGGTGCCACTTTGGACCTCCATGCTCTGCTCAGGCACAGGCCAGAGGAAGAGCTGAGTTTTCAACAGGAGTTTAAATGACTGTGGTCTGAGCGCTGCAGACATGTAGCGGTAAGTTAGTCCATCATTCTGGAATCGCTGCAGCTCTGTAGAA